AATCTAAACTAGATTCTGTGATTCCTAGCAGCAGAGGTTGTCATATTCCCCATCATCATCTCGACCAAAGGAATCTCCGGTAATGGGGCCAAGGCAACAGAGCTTGGAGCTTGCCTCCACCGCTGGAGAAACATTGGGGCAATAAGTCTTCTCTCTTGCAACAAGATCCAGCAAGATTGTCACGGCTGGAGACCCGACTGGATTTTAAGTGAAAATCACGAGCGATTTAGGTCCAGGAAAAGGATGGTGGAGTTGGGGCTTGGGGTAGAAGACAAGTTAGTTTTTTTTTAGTTGGTTGGTTCAATTGGTGGGTTTGTATTGGGTTGGATTATGGTTTTAATGACCTGGCGGGTTGTGATGATGTGGCGGGTCGGGTTTAGTGTTTTTCGAGTTAAATCCAGCTGATTAGGCGATTCTGTTTGCCATCTCAGCACTTAACAGACTCCATTAACGGAATTGGACGGAGACTAACGAAGAGTGACCAAACGTGACATGTTTTACTAAATTTAGTGACTATTATTGATATTAAATATTTTTAGTGACCAAACATGAACATTTTTTGCAATGCCAGTGACCAACTATGAAATTTACCCTTTTATTGCCAAAGCAATTGTGGGATTTAATTCAACGAATGGATGCCTTAATAGCAAAATTTTTAAAAAGTCAATTTATCCTTAATCTTTGCTTAGGATAAAGTGTATTTTTTTATTTTATGAGTGTGAAATTTGATTATTTAGAAGACATGCGTGGTGAGTTACAAATGGAGCACAAATACATATTTGAGAACGACATGTTGTTAACTGAATTCCGACCTCTCTAATGTAGCCGGAACTTTATATACTCCTTTGAAATACAACCTTAAAAAGCGAGAGCAACATCTTAAATGATTTGGTACAAGGAACTTCCCCCATATGTGGCCTCTTCAAAACAGATTAAACCTCGCGAGATTGTCTGGCATGATTGACTTAGTCTAAAGTGGGAGTTTATAGTGTGGATTGCTCAAACTGTGTGGTTGGTTTGATTGTCATGATTATATCTTACCTACTGTTGGTTGCTTATGCTTCCTTAATGACCAATTAAGTCAAACTAATCTTCATTGACCAAGCCATTACTAGTTGTTGCTACATCTGTATGATAACTTACTTCGATCTATCTTAAATTAACTGATACTAAGTCGATTAATCATTGATTACATAATGCTTAGTGCACCCAAGGAAGCCTACTAGAAGGCTTTTTTTTGCCACTAGATTCCTCTGAAAAAGAGGGAGAACAATGTTCACAGATACAGAGAACCTATATGCTACGTAACCAAGCAACAAAGTCGAACCTCAGTAATAACCGAGGCGACAAAACTAGAGCATGTCTTGCTACCGAATGAGCTACTATGTTATTCAGTCTACCAACAAAGAGAATTGAGGCGGAATGAAGATCGCGAAGCAGCATAGCAATCTCTTGAAGAAGAATCCCTATTTTGGCGTCACAAGTCTGTCTTGCATGACATTTCTCAATAAGAACTTTAGCATAGCCTTGAATGCAAACACTTATGAGGCAAAGTTGAGAGCAGTGAAGAAGACAATCACGCAAAGCTAGTGCCTACAAGATATATGGATCACTACACCCTTCATAAACATTTGCCTTTGCTGCAAGGATCTCACCAGACACCCGCCGAAGAATAAAAGCTGCCGAACCAGACCCCCCTTGTACAAGTACTTGCATCAAATGAGTCCACATAACTCGCATTGGAACGATCATTACTAATTGGGGTTTGCAACGGAGCAGATCCGATGTCATTAATGGCTTGCGGGAGAGCATTATCATTCTCTTGGACTTGGTGTTTCCACTAGGCAGCAAGAGCCTCCACTCAAACCTGCTTGAATGCAAAACAAACAGTACATCGATTTTTCCAGATGCGCCAAAGAAGGAAAATAACCTGCAATAGGAGGTAATCCAAATCTGTCCCTCTTCCTTGAATAATGAGAATCGAAGGAATCCAATAAAAGATCCCTTGTTCCAACGACCCAAGTGCCGATGCATACCCATCATCCTCCATAATCTTCTTGCAGTCGGACACCTGCAAAATAAGTGTTCGTTAGTTTCTTCTTTCCGAACACAAACAAGGAAAATAGGAATGATGTCCATCCCTCACGTTACTAATGTTAGCGGATTATGAAGGCCAATTTATTGTCTTCATTTTATTGTACATTTGTAGTCCATGTATTAGCCCTTTATTGTAACCCATGAAGCCCATGCAAGGGTCACTCACGTGTTGATTGAGAGTGTGCCCTAGGGTTCGGTTTTTCAGCTTCTTCCTCTTCGTATTTAAGGACTGAGGTATGCGGTGATGGCTGTACAAAAAACATAAGAATAACATCAATAGCTCGAAGGGTTTTCACTCTTCCGTGGATTAGTCCTGGATATTCCAGGGATACCACATAAATCGGTTGTCTGTCTCGTGATTCTCATTTTCAATTATGTCTAGATCATCTGTCAAATCTCGTTAAACTATCATGGTATTAGAGCTGCTCTCGCCAATGGACCCTGAGAGGCCTCCTGTTCGACTGACATCAACAAACTTCGCTCTCTAGGAATTCCAATTCCGTATTTTCGTTGAAGGACGCGGCCTTCTGAATATTCTTGATCGAACACGTCCTTGACCTCTTCCTGCTACCTCTAATCAAGAAATCACTCAATGGAATCAGAGTGATACTCGGGTTCGGTCTTGGTTATTGGGATCTGTTGATCACTCCACATGTCTAAGCCTCCGCCTCTTCTCGATTGCTAACGCGAAGTGGCGACATCTGGCCGCGATGTTTTCTATAGTCAACATCGCCCGATAGTTTGAACTACAACTCTCCTTGGCTCGCATGGAGCAAGGAGATCGGACTATCACCAGATACTACAAAGCCGCCTAGGAACTATGGACGAAACAAAATATTTTGGCTGCAGCTCTTCATCCCCAGCCTATCTCTGCAAATGCGATCAAGGAGCGCTAGCAAACCCGGTTGCTCAATTTTCTTATGCGCCTATGGCCAGAGTTTGAGGTCGTTCGATCAACGTTGCTGAATAAGGAGGATTTTCATTTTGAAGGCCTGCTGTCTCATTTGGTGCGTGAGGAGACCAGGATACGTACTCAGGCCAATCTAGATATTCGCCCTGACATTGGCGAAACTGTGTTAACTGTCGCGGGACAAGAGTCCGCCTTCTCAGTAAATCATCGCTCATTTAATAATCGTTTTGTTGCTACTGATATTGAATGCCACTTTTGTCATGAGAGTGGGTCACCCTAAGAAGCATTGTCAAGGTGGAATTATTGCATTTATTGTAAAAGAACTGGACATATTATCCTAGAGTGTCAAACTTGGCAACGTAATGATGCTTGAGCTGTTGGGGGTTTCGGCGGACCAATTTCCATTCCTTCTGATCGCTCCTCTGGTGAGCCACCGGGAAGGAATTATCCTCCACGCTCAGCACATCCCAATGTTGGTGACCGACCAATTCATTCTGCCACTCCCTCAACAGGTTCGATGGAAGCCAACAACAGTAGCAGTGGTGGTGGATTATCGGCAGCTGATGTGGAAAATATGGTAAACGCAGATCTCCAACGGTCTTTACTTACTTCTATTAGTGCTGCTTTAGCTACGCTTGACAGCTCAGGTAACAATTCGCCATGGCTACTTGACTCAGCATGCTTTAACCATATGGCCAGTACTTCAGAAAATTTGTGTGACCTTATTCCGGTTAAAGATATGTCGTTAAGTGTAGCTAATGGTGACAGGTTACAAGTTCAAGCAGTGGGATTGATGCGTAAACCTGATCTTATTTTACCTCACACTTTCCAAGTCCCTAATTTCGTGCTGAATTTTGTGTCGGTAGGACAACTTACTGAACAAGGGTGTTCTGTTTTATTTGCACCATCTGGATGCTCTATATAGGATTTGAAGACGGGTAGCCAGATCGGAATGAGGAGTAAATGACAAAGAGTATTTCATTTGGACGAGCTTCGTGGGAATCCAGTGTCATCATCAGATAGCAATCCGTGTGTCACTAGTCATTTTTCAACTTTGTCAAAAACTATTTCATGTGGTCCGACTTTGCATGTTACCTTTTCAACCTTGTCGAATAATTTTTTGGGATTTATGGCACTCTAGATTAGGCCACCCTCATTCTGGTCACCTTGTAACGATGTTTCGACGATCTTTACTTGGTAAAAATCATGTCAATCTTTCTGCTCCTCATTCCTATACTAGCTGTGTTGAAGCCAAAACAATTAGCTCTTCATATCCCTCAAGTACGACTATTATCACTGAACCATTCCATATTATTCACACCGATCCCTGGGACCTTCTCCTAAACCCTCTCGACGTGGAGGTCATTATTTTGCTTTATTCATTGATCATGCCACTCGTTTAACTTGGGTTTATTTTCTTCGTCTCAAATCTGAACTTAAATCGGTGGCACTAAGTTTTTGAAAACGATCCAAAACCAGTTTAGTCGTTCTATTAAGATTGTTAGATCAGATCCCGGTGGAGAATTTAGTTCTTTTCTCTTATATGAGGTATATCATTCTCTTGGTATTCTAACTCAGCAGTCTTGTCCTGGTGTCTCTTAGCAAAACACTTTAGTGGAACGGAAAAATCGTCATGTCATGGATTTAACTCGTGCCCTTCTTTTAGCGTCCCATGTTCCTGGTCGTTTTGGCTAGAGGCAGTTGCCTCTGCAGTTCATCTCATCAACTATCAATTACACCTGTCTTACGTGATACTAGCCCTTTTTTGCTCTTTACTCCCGTCATCCTGACTATTCTCGTCTCCGAGTTTTTAGTTGTCTGTGCTTTTTTCTTCTTCCCAAACGGGAATGTACGAAGTTGACTTCGAAGACTGCTCGTTGTGCTTTCTTAGGGTATAGTGTAACACTCTGACCTTTGGGTTCAGGTTCGACCAAAATGTGTGAACGCTGGGTTAACGGTTACGTACAAAGGGTTGCAACCGCGGATTATGAATAATAATAATAATAATAATAATAATAATAATAATAATAATAATAATAATAATAATAACTATATTATCACTATTATACTATTATTATTATTATAAAAAATATAAACATGGAAAAAGGGGCCTAGCGGCACCCTTTCCCCCCTTATTATGTCATCCCCACGCCCAACCAATTATGATTATTTTTTCCCCAATCCCCACGAGCCGCTGCAGCATAGAAAACCCATCCCTTGTTATTATTCCACCAGCGGAAACGAAGAGAGGAGCAGCGCCGCATCCCTTCGTTATTATTCCCCAGCAGTGTTTTGCGAAAAAGGGAAGAAAGGACGAGCAGAGGCAGGTTGTGAGAGGGAATAGAAGAATAAATGAAGATGAGCAGAGAGGGAAAAGAATAAGGATAAATAAATAAATAAATAAATAAAGGGAGTGGTTCCTCACAGCACCATCGCTTCCCTGTTTCCTTCGACCAGCCCAATCGTGAAATTGTCCGAAAAAGGATTGAGGTCTAAGGTGGTTTAAACACCAACCAATAAAGTAGATGGGAGATGACGCGATGACTAGGCCAAAATGGTACCCTCCTTAACGACCTGGGGTATGGGAATTGAAAAGGAAGAGGAACTAGAAGCTAAGTTGACGTGGAAATTGAAACGAAATATGAGGAAAAAGCTGACGACGACGAAACAGAGGTTCAAGAGAGGAAGCGGCTTAATGTTTCTTCGTCAAAGAAACTAAGGAACCACCACTTAAGAGGTGAGTGTAAAGGGGATAAAATCTACGTCAATATCTTTTAGATTTATGCATTTTATTTCAAGTTATGCTAGTTAATTTTTGAGTAATGCGCGATATGTGTGTGAGGTATCCCACCGCCTACTTAAGGTGGAGGCACACATTGTGCTATGTATGAATGTATGGATGTATGCTTGTAATAGTTGATTAATGGTAAAGTGAACCCGCGGCCGGTTGGGCCACTACTGGACGCGGTAGATGGTCGGGGCACTTCAGGACAGCAAGACGTAACGCAGCAGTTGATCGAGTATGTTTGGGTCACTACTGGACGGCGAGACGTAACACAGTAGTTGACCGGGCATGTACTAGATGGCGAGACGTAACGGAGTGCCATTGCCGAGTTTGGGTATGCAATCGGACGACGATACGTAACGCGATGATTCCCCAGTAAGTATTTAAGTTAAGGATAGAAGTAACGAACTTCTATGAGTTCAGGATAGAAGTAGAGAGCTTCAATAAGCTAGTTGAAAGGATGATTATGTAAGAGCAGAAAGCGAGAACGCGTTTCGTACTAGAAATGAAACTCTAATAACGTGTTTAGTAGGGAGCTTGCCTAGGGCAAAGACCTTAGGAAGTAACGATGAGACTGACCCCTTCTCACTCAGTAGGTCGAGAAAGGGTTAGCAGAGGTGGCCTTCGAGAATAGGCAAAGCGACGTGGGAAGCCGCTCCAAAGTAGACAAGATCGAGGGGAGCTCAACGAGGAGTTAGTGTTATAGTTATTTCTTTATTTTTGTTCATGATCATGAGTATATATACTGGAGATTCGGGATTTTGAGTTTGGGTGGTTTTGTTTGCCACGGATTTGGGTCGCCCAACTATTTAGGGCTTTTCATTTGAATATCTTGTGGAAAAATACTAGGATTTACTTGTTTTATTGAAGTTTTTGAACATTATTTTGGTCGGATCTGGAGCCATGAGTATTTTGGTTTGTTTAAAAGTACCGGGACGTTACATATAGTGACATTCACTAAGGATACTTGTGCTAAGATCCTTTGTTTAAGCTTATTCGTACATCAAGCACAAGCATATTTTTTGAGAATGTCATGTTTTACCATACCGAGTCTTCCCCTTCTAGTTTCTCCACCAACATTACTCCTCCCACGTTTGATGATGACTATGATGATACTCTCTTTCCCCCACTGGATCCGCCTGATCCGTCCTTTCCTGGTTTGTCTCCCACTCCATCGACTACTACTCCTACATCTTCTGCATCACCGACATCACCCACTCCATCTAGTTCTGGCCCCAACTCCTCTACTGCCTCGAGTTCATCTCCAGGTTCCAGCTCGTCTTCACGCGCCGCCAGCTCCCCCCCACAAGCCAACATTCCCGCTCCACGTCGATCTGATTGGGTAACGGAGGGCATTCCTCCGCCCAAATTCCATGATTACGTGGCCCATGGAGTAGATTCATTTATTGTTCCCACTCGCTATCACCAAGCTAAGGGTCATCCTTTGTGGGAGGCAGCTATGTGATGCGAACTTAAAGCTCTTCATGCGAGTAATACATGGACACTTGTTCCACATCCATCATCTTCTTCTTTGGTTGTTGGTTGTTGCTGGGTTTACACAGTTAAGATGAATCCGGATGGTACAATGGATCGGTATGAGGCTCGATTGGTTGCCCAGGGCTTCACTCAGGAATATGGGATTGATTACAATGAGACATTTGTGCCAGTTGCTAAAATGTCTACGGTTCGTACATCATTGTCTGTTGCTTCACTCCAGCAGTGGTCGTTATCTATATGGAAAAACCTCCTAGTTACTCTCTCGGTTCTTTACTCGTCTCAAATATCACAACAAAATTCTACCTAAGGCCCACTTATAAACCTTAGATGAGTGTAATACAGGGCAAGTATGTTTAAGTATCAACCCAGGCTGGTCCATGTACCCCTACTTCCATTGTTTGAAACATTACCAAGCAGATTGGCTTTTGGTTGAAATCTATGAGGTTTAAATGAAAACAAAGCAAAGGTAAATGGTTTGAAAGCTCTAGATGAGAAGGATCACTCGGGTTTCGCTTCCCCCTAACTACTACCATAGCACGTGGACTCGAATGGGATGTTATGGGCAAGGCAATCGTGAACCGCTAGGAGGTGCAACTATGGTCGAAAACCACACTCTCAATTACCAAACCAAGGGATACATTATAGGCTACTAGAGTAGCCCTCTTGTCTAAGGCAATTGAGGGTTGACTTACCTTCTCCCTCAAACCGATGGTCGAATGGCTTAATCACGATTAACCTAGTCAATTAATTCAAGATAGAGGTTTTCCCTACATTAACCTAGGTAGGTGGCTTGAAAAGCCCAAGGAATCCCAACTCAATTAAGCCTCTTTTGGAAAGGGGGTGTTTCCCGTCTAACCTAGGTTAGAATGGCCAATAAGATTGCTAAGCACAAACATGCACAATCATCATGAAAAATACCTCAATCATTAAATTAAACAACACCCATGAACAATCATTCAATTCACAATACAACTACATGGCTAATAGTTAGGGTTTCACAACACCCAAGTGAAAAAGGAAACTAATTCATGCTAGAAAGGGGAAGAACACAAAAGAAAGAAGTAGAAACCATCATGGTGATGCCTCCACTCTCCTTTGATCTTGTGTTGATCTTCTCTTGAGGAGATTCTTCCTAATTCACCACTTGGAGCAAACCCTAGCCTCCTTTCTTCTTTGGTTCGTCCTTTCTCTGTCTAAAATATGAAGAAGAAGGTGCTATCTCACTCTTGGGATCTCCCTCACTCTTCATTTCAGCTCACGTTTTATACTGGGATCGGGCTCAATTCACGGCCGTGAACTCTTCAACGCGTCCGTGAACTCTGATTGTTGTGTCGAAACGCACCGCTTCACTCACATGAGTTCACGGTTTGCACTCAAAGTTCATGGTCTTGTTGACTGTGAACTCACTTGGCGTCAATAACTTCAGAAATCGCCCTGGACGCTTCGCCGTTCACGATTTATGAGACAGTGATTTCTAATGTAAAACCGTGGACATGGCCTGAATCACCCTCTTTGCCCGATCTTTGCCCCTTTTCTTCCAACTTTCAACTCCGGGGCTAGTTTCACCTGTTAGATCCTGAAACACACTGAAACACACAAAACCTAGCGTAAAACCGACCTTTTAGGATTTCAAATGCCACAAACACCCAAGGGAAACAGGGATAAAATGTGTACAATTAGGCCCGAATCACTCCCGCAAGCAAACCATTTCACACGAGTTCCCAAGGAAACCATTTCACACAAGGTAATATCTCAACCTATCAAAATGCTTTGGGGACAAAACAAAGGGCACAAAGTGGCGAATCTCAAATGTCTATTGGAAATTAACACAAGGACCGTTGCAAGCAATACCGATATCCACCACAAACGAAATTCGAGGCTACTAGAAACAGGCAAATTAAAAGTTCTCACCTTGTTCATGAATCAATGCAAGTTTCAAATAGATCACTTACCAACCACAACTAACCATGCATGGAGTTCAAGTCCAAGGGTGGGCAACAAAGGTCCTCACCAGGGTAGGATATGACATGGAAAACAAGAATGAATCACTCACTCTCTTGACCATTGGTGTCGGGACCTTTTGGTGCAAAAAAATGTTCACAATCATCAACACTCGGCCTTATCGTCTCAACACGACGACAACCTCTAAATGCTAGAGTTCACGGAATGGTTTTCATCACTAGCTTGTCCGGAGGTCTTAGACACGAGTTCAAATGACTGGCGATTGTCTTGGACAGGAGAAAATTGATTTTGGGTGGTGGAAAACACATAATGAAGTCCTACATCTTCACCCTAAAACCGAAGGTTCTATGGTTTCGAGTAAGAACCTTCCTTACAAACAATGGCCACTAGCATCAGCCAAAAACCTTGCTTCTCCCTTCCAAACTATCACCCATCACAAACTTCCCTTAAGCGCTCTTACTCGGTCTACACTTGCTATCACATTTCGATTTGGTAGTGAAGGAGTTCTAAGACAATGTGGATGTTTCAATGGCTTGAGTGCCAAGAAACCTCTCCTAGAGCATACTCTTTGATTCCTTGTGGCACTCTCTATTTTATTTACCCCGTTTTATTACCTCTTTTTTGTTTCTCTTTCTTTTTCTTTCTTTCTACTTTCCTTTGAGGGGGGTACTAGAGAGTTAAACATTTGCCACACTAATTTTAATGATCAATGCTCTCTTTTTAAGAACTCACTCCAACACTACTCTTCCTTTGACTTTCGTTCCTAGCAAGAACCGCACACAATCCTCCTTTGTAGAACCTCAATGGAACTCAAAAGCGATAGCTCCGGAACACAAGGATGACACACGTATATACACGAACAAAAGATGGGGGTCGTTCTATCAACACCATTAAGCTCACAAGCAAAAAGCTCCTAACATGAGAACGACCCCCAAAGTCACAAGGCTCAAAGGGGTTGACTAGTGGATAAATCATTTCGGGACAATCAACATTTGGGCGTGGACTAATCCTATGCCTCCATCATACTCACTAGTGACAACTGTGATGTTACTTGCCATGGTAAGTGGGATCTAAGCACACAAGAAGAAAACGATCGGCTCAAAACTCACATGGCTACCTAGTCACCCTACCATCTATTCCAAATCACAAAGTAACATGCATGGCAATTGTAATCAACAAGTAATTGAGTAAAAACATCCATTCATTTTTGCACACATGAGAACTAAACCTTTGCACTATCCTAATGCACCTCTCAGTCAATATCATAGGACATACTCGATCACATGCAACAATTCAAGGTTAAAGCCAATAGACACTCCCACAAACCGGCCAATTTGATCATGCAAACCTTGTTTGGAGCCCTCAAAATTTTCAAATTTGGGCATACATCAAGGCTCCAAGCATCAATCACACTCACACAAGCATAATAATAGACTACCCCCCCCCCCCACCCCCACACACACACACACACTTAAGATCGACATTACCCTCAATGGCGTAAGATAGGGGTAGAACGATATTACCGCTTTGCTTGGTGAGTGAAAGTTGGAATTGTTTCTGGGGTAGGAGATTTGGAGCTTCAAGGAGAAGACAAAAACACATAAACACAATATGACTCTCTCAAGGCGAGGTTATTACACAATACAATACACTAGTAGTAGTAGTTTATAGTCACAAACACATAAACGAAAGAAAAATAAAATAAAAGAGTTCAGACCGTGAACGGGGCAATCCGTCCATGAACCTCAGCTAAAACAGGGCACTTCTGAAAAAAAATTTACTCGACCTAATCCACTGTGCCTTCTACCGATCGCGACACAACCTCAAATCGCAAAACCACAAAACGCGGCTCGGGGATACCACTCCATCACTAGAACTCTTCACTCAACACACAAAAACGAAAATAAGAAACAGAAAACAAACCTACGTTGGGTTGCCTCCCAACAAGCGTTAAGTTAATGTCACTAGCTTGACGTTGCAAATCTATCATGTTTTGGAACATGATGCCACCGAGAGTGGATCCGCAACGTTCTCGGGGCGAGGCTTGTAGCCTCCCAACTTAAGCTCCATGGGGTTGCCTTCTTGGCCGACGACCTTAGCTTTGCCCTTCTCCTTCTTTCGGGCCAAAACTTGCTTCATCTTTTCCCTCCAAGATCTCTTCTTCCTTTCTTTGGGCATAGTACCCTACTTAACTTTCTGCTTAACATCATCACAAGCAACACAAGTAACAGTGGGGTTCGCCTTGCGAGGCTCTCCTCCACTCACATTCAAGTCATCCAATACCAACTCCTTCACATCCTCACTTCTAGCCTTAGGTTCAATTTCAAGAGTGAACCTCTCCTCACCATCCCTCGGAATCAAGGTCCCCTCATTAACATCAATTAACGCCTTGGCGGTGGCAAGGAAGGGATGTCCTAGTATGAGTGGTATATCCGAGTCCTCACTTATATCAAGGATCACAAAATCCATCGGATAGCAAAACCTGCCCACTCGTACTTACATGTCCTCCACGATGCCCCTAGGATCAATGACCGAGCGGTTGGCTAATGTGACACTAAGCTTAGTGGTCTTGAGTTCACCTAGGTCTAGCCTTTTGAAAAGCTTATAGGGCATCACATTGACAGTTGCTCCTAAATTCGCCAAGATATTTTCTATGTGATGGTTACCAATACTAAGAGGGATAGTGAAGCTACTTGGATCGGGTCGCTTCTTGGGCAACCGGTTGAGGATGAAGGCCGAGCACTCCTCGCCTAGAGTCACGTTGGCGAGGTCTTCGAACTTCGGTTTCTTGGTGAGGAATCCTTTGAGGTACTTTGCATACCTTGGTATGTGAGAAATAACTTCAAGGAAGGGGATGTTGAGGTGGAGATTTGGTAGCATCTCCATGAAGCCTCCACATTCCGCTTCCAGCCTCTCCTTGTACACCCTTGTGGGGAAAAGAAGAGGTGGCTTGTACTCAGCCACCGGAGATGGCGTCGGTGATGCCTTCGTTGCCACTTATTTCTCTCCCTTCGAGGGCTCTTCATCTCCATCCTTGGGGTTGGAGTCTTCCTTCTCCATCACTCCTTTGGCAACAACTCCCGGAGTCACCTTCTCACTTCTCAAGTAAATCGCATTGCACCCGACTTGAACTTTGGGGTTGGAAATGGTTTGAGAGGGTAGGGCTCCCTTTGGTCTCTCGGTGAGTATCCCAGCATGATTGCCGATTTGCACCTCCAAATTTTGAAGGCTTGCTCGATAGCTTGGAAGTCTCGTCTCAATCGAGGTAAACTTGGTAGTTGCCACATCCATAAATTGCCCAATCTTCTCAAACTTCTGAGCTTTTGTGCTAACAAAGGTATTCACAAGGTCTTCAAGTTTGGACAGCTTGTCGGGTTGTTGTTGTTGTTGGCCACCTTGTACTTGGTAAGGTTGTTGGAAGCTCGATTTTTGGAATTGAGGTATTTGTTGGATGGAAGTTGGCCGAGGTTGATAATTGCCCATAGGGCCTTGGAAACCGGGGGTATCATATTAGTCGGGGACGACCAAGAAAAGTTAGGATTGTTTCTCCACCCGGGGTTATAAGTATTGCTATACGGGTTGTTCCCCCTAGCATTGGCAACGAAATTGGCTTGTTCCTCTGGAGTGCTTGCTTCCTTCATTGCTTGGCAATCCACCATCTCATGGTTAGTGCTTGAACACCAATCATAAGACATCACCACTCTCTTCCGTTGCTTCTATCCTCAATAATTACCTCGATCAACTTTTCAAGCTTCGCTTCAAGTGGAGCACTTGCTCCCACACTTCTTACTCATCTTTCATTGCTTCTCTTCCCACCTCTCGTCAACCCCAATTATATCCTTTAAGAGCCATATCTTCAAACAACTGGGTCACTTGAGGTGGGGTCATGTTCATCAACCTCCCTTGGCAAAGAGAGTCAATGAGGATCTTGTCTTCATTTATAAGTCCACCATAGAAAGTTTCTATTCGAAATTGCTCCTCAAACCATGGTGAGGGCATTGAAGTAAATAGTCGGAGAATCTTTCCCAAGCATCTCTCAAGGTCTCATCTTCATCTTGCTCGAAATGGGTGATCTTCTTTCTCCACTCGGCCGTCTTCGAAGGAGGGCAATAGTGGGTCATGAATTTGTTGAGAAGATCATCCCACGAGGTAATTGAGTGAGGCGGCCGGTTGTTGAGCCATCGAAGGGCCTTCCCCGAAAATGAGTAGGGGAAAAGCCTTAATTGCAAAGCTTCCGTCGGCACGCCATTTATCTTCAAATTCCCCGCGAGCTCAAGAAATATTTGCACATGCTCCCTCGGTGATTCGCTTGTGAGCCCGTGGAAAAAAGCAATGTTCTGAATCATTGTCACAAGGGCCGGCTTGATTTTGAAGTTGTTGGCCACCACGGGTGGGTGTAAGATAGGCGATTAAATGTCCGCCGGCCATGGGGCCATGTAATAACCCATTGTCCTTGGGACTTCCTCCTCTGCCGCCTCATCATTTTGGTTGTGAACTTGGGCGGCTCCTCCTTCTCTTTGTTGGTTCTCTGCCATCTCAACCCCAATAACAACTTTGCCTTAAACTCCTTCAACTTCTACTCCACCAACTCCGGAACACAATTGTTGTCCCCTTTCTTCACTTCTCCTCCTTGCTTCCGCTAACTCCCTCTCCCGAGCCAGGAGTTGGAAAGTCTTGTTGATGTTCTCGTCAAGTGGTACTAAAGGCGCCGAATTGCTTCGGGTCATGCACCACCCTGCACACACTTAGAGAACAATACCACGTCTAACATAAGCAAAACACACACACAATCAAAGCTGAAAAATAAAAGCTAGATTAACAACAAACAACTTTTTCAAGATAACGGACCGAAGCTCCCCGGCAAAGGCGCCAAAAACTTGACTCGTCCCGAATATCACAACAAAATCCAACTTAAGGCCCAAGTATAAACCTTAGATGGGTGCAATATAGGGAAAGTATGTTTAAATATCAACTCGGGCTGGTCTATGTACCCCTACTTCCATTGTTTGAAACATGATCTAGCAGATTGGTTTTTGGTTGAAAACTATGAGGTTTAAATTAAAACAAAGCAAAGGTAAAATGTTTTGAAAGCTCTAGATGAGAAGGATCACTCGGGTGCTTCCCTCTAACTACTACCATAGCACGTGGACTCAAATGGGACGTTATGGGCAAGGAAATGGTGAACCACTAGGAGGTGCAGCTATGGTCGAAAACCACACTCTCAATTTCCAAACCAAGGGATACATTATAGGCTACTAGAGTAGCCCTCTTGGTTAAAGCAATTGAGGGTTGACTTACCTTCTCCCTCAAACTGATGGTTGGACGGCTTAATCACGATTAACCTAGTCGATTAATTCAAGATAGAGGTTTTCCCTACATTAACCTAGGTAGGTGGCTTGAAAAGCCCAAGGAATCCCAACTCAATTGAGCCTCTTTTGGAAAGGGGGGTTTCCCCTCTAACCTAGGTTAGAATGGCCAATTAGATTGCTAAGCACAAACATGCACAATCATCATGAAACCTACCTCAATCATTAAATTAAACAACACCCATAAACAATCATTCAATTCACACTACAATTACATGGCACATAGTTAGGGTTTCAAAACACCCAAGTGAAAAAGGAAACTACTCCATGCTAAAAAGGGGAATAACACAAAAGAAAGAAGTAGAAACCATCATGGTGATGCCTCCACTCTCCTTTGATCTTGTGTTGATCTTCTCTTGAGGAGATTCTTCCTAATTCACCACTTGGAGCAAACCCTAGCCTCCTTTCTTCTTTGGTTCGCTCCATGTCTGAGGTGTGTTCTGAACTCATCTGGCTCCAACGGCTGCTTAGTGATTTCGACGTGACTTGTTCTCTTCCTATGGATCTCTTTGTGGATAATACTAGTGCTATTCACATTGTTGTTAATTCGGTTCTTCATGATAGAACAAAGCATATCGAGATCCATTTTCACTATGTTCTGGATTTGATTAGCGATGGGATGGTGACTCTTCACCATATACGGGCAGAAGACCAGGTGGCTGATCTTTTGACCAAGGCGTTCTCCACTAGTCGTCACAGGTACCGGACAAGCAAATTGATGCTTACCGATCAACATCAACTTGGGGGAGGTTGTTAGCGGATTATGAAGGCCCATTTATTGTCGTCATTTTATTGTACAATTGTATCCCATCCATTTATAGTAACCCAAGAAGCCCATGCAAGGGTCACTCACATGTTGAGTGAGAATGTCCCCTAAGGTTCGGTTTTTCAGCTACTTCCTCTTCGTATTTAGGGACTGAGGTATGCGGTGATGGTTGTACAGAAAACATAAGAATAACATTAGTAGCTCGAAGGGTTTTCACTCTTCCGTGGATTAGTCCTGGATATTCCAGGGATACTGATGACTTGATATATATGATAGACCGTTAGTTACACATGTTTTCACACCTGTTCTTACACCGTTTGAGATGTGGTTTCTCGTGTTTTAGACCGATTTCACGCTAGGTTGTGCTTGTTTGTGATATTTCAGGTCCTGGCAAGTGAATGAAGGTTTAGGAGCGAGTTCGGGGTCGATTGGGTGAAGATCGGGCGCGAGACAAGTCACAAAGGAGGTCACACGGGCTGCCCTGATCTTCACACGGCCGTGTGAAGTAATGGCCTGGTCGTGCGAGTTTTGCCGAGAGCACACACGGGCAGAGCAGAGGATCGACACGGCCGTGCAAGAGGCCAGTCTGGCCGTGTGGAATTCTGCGTGAGCAAACACGGGCAAAGAGGAAGTTCACACGGCCGTGCCACTCTGGCCGTGCAAAGAGCCTAGAATTCGAACTAATTGGAACGCAGCGTTTTGAATCACACGGGCAACTGGGTAAGCCACACGGCCGTGCCACCCTGGCCGTGTGAGTCGGGATTTTCTGCTTAAAACCCGATTTTCAGCCAAAGGAGAGGAGGAGAGCTGGGTTTTGGATCCCAAACACCCAAGGGACGAACCAAAGAGAGAGAGGGCGATTTGAGGGCATTCTTGGAGTGGAGTTGGAGGATTTCTTCGCCTTGGAAGCTCGAGGAACAAGCCCGGACTTGAAGACTGATCAACTGAAGATTCTTACTGCAGTCTCTCTCTTCTCTATGGAGTAACTTCCCTTCACTTAGGTTTTGAATAACCCTAGCTATGTTTGTTTGATTGGATGATTGTATGAGTACTCTGACTTGATAATCTTGAGTTCATATTCAATCTATGCATGTTTTCATGAGTCAATTCTACTTTAGTCGAGATTATTGATTCTGCTTTGATCCTATGAGAGGGAATACCTGATTAGGTCAATAGAGCACCATAGATTGGTAGTAGTGGATCGATTGCTTTAGTCGAGGGTTGATTCACTGCTTTGTATCGATTGAGAACCTCTTTCGATAGAGGGAGTCTAGTTCAGAACACCTTGATCAGTTGTTCTAGAGAAGGATACGTCCCTTTAGGCAATTGACTCAAGAGGGCCTTGTTCCTTTAGTCGAGACTCAAGGTCTAGTCAAGGATTCTCCGCATTGTGAATGAAAGTGAAACAAGTTGGAAATCATCAATTGTTTGTCTGGCTAGTGGCTAGGGGGAATCATACCTAAGTGAGTTCCCAACCTGTAATTAGATTAACTTTAACTGTAGTTTGCTAGAGTAGTTTTAGTTCTTTCATCTTAATCTGGTTTGCTAAATAATAAACTGAAGCTGAGTAATAGTAACTCTAGAGACCCGTGGATTCGATATTTATCACTTGAGCCACTATACTGCAGTCCCTTCCATTGGTTACACTTGGCCATTGTTAGGTGTTGTGTCGTAACGAGTCAAGTTTTTGGCGCCGTTGCCGGGGACTTTCTAGAGTATTAGGAAAGGCAGAAGTTTGTTACTTTAGCGTTTTTCTTTTCTTTTCTTTTCTTTTCCACCCTTGCTTTTCACTTGGTTTTTTGTTTTTGTTGGTGCAGATCTGAATCATGGATCCTCATGGCTTCCCCAATCATTGGGGGTATCCACCACCACCCGAGTGGTATTACCCCGAGACCCCCTGGAGCAATCAAGGAGGAGAAGACTATGGATTCGGGTTCCAGTACCAACCCCCTTACTACGGAGAACAACCGGACCCCTGGGCATATCAAGAACAACCTCATTATCAAGAAGAATTTCTCCCACAACCAGAAGGGCCATCGGCGCTGGAGTTACTCATGGAGCAGTTTGCTCGAGACTGCGAGAGAACATGCTCCAGGATGGATCAGTGTGTCCAGGCCTATCGTGAAACAGATGAGATCCTCCTGAGCCTTAAGATGAGCGTTGATGACCTTGAGCGATCTTTGGCACAACCTGCTCCAGATCACCCTTCTGCTACCATACAAGAAGAGGGGGAGGAAGAAGAAGGCTACACGGACATTGTGGAGCACACTGAAGTTGTCACGGAGAGCTCCCGTGATGATCATGATCAGGAGTGTCATGTCGTAGCCGACCACACCTTCCCACACCCCAAACTGAGCTTTGCAGAGGCGGGCATGAGTGAGGAGATGCAAGAAGATCTCATGAAAGAAATTGCTTGGCAACTTGCTCTCCAATCCGTGCTAGAAGAAGAAGAGCAAGAAAGTGTGCAGAAAGAAGTTGTGGAGGATGGCGAAAGTGAAGCTGGAGAAGTTCTTGATCATTTCCCAGGGGTGATACCACATGAAGAAGGAAGGGAGGTTGAAGAAGCAATTGGCGTCCAGGCTGAGGATGAAGTTGAGGTGGAAGAGGCCTGCACCGGCCATGAGTTACATGTGATATCCCCACCAAACTTCGAGGAACTGCTTAGCAAGGACCCATTTGCAGTGTCTCTTTGCCAGACCAAGGCCACATCGACATCGGTCCCTCTTGGTGGACGCGATGGTGGCCAATCGATGTTGTCTTATCTGGTTTGGGGCAATGAGACGAGAGAAGAGAAGAAGGGTCTCGAGGGTGGAGACTTCATCTGCATCAAGTACATGAGCCTTCATCACCTGCCACACCACATGCTCATGACTTGAGACTCCACCTCATCGACGAGAACCTCAACTTCAAGGAGGTTCTAGCATGGACCGAAACTTAGGAGCCATCGTCTGGCTCACGACGTGAAAGAAGCGCTTGTTGGGAGGCAACCCAACCAGTTGGTTTGCATTTCTTTCTCTATTTCTCCTCGGTTGAGTCAGTTTTTTTATTTGATTTTAGAGTCAATAACTCAACCTTTGTGAGATTTTGTGTGGTGTTTGTGTTCTGATTACTCTCTCTTTCTGGAATGCACCGCCTGACCCGTTCATCATCATTCACCCTTGATCTGGTAACTTCGTTCTACCCTCCTTATCTTTCCTCCATTGAGGATAATGTCGTGCTTAAGTGTGGGGGGGGGGGGTGTTCGATTATTTATGCGGGTGAATGTTTGGCTGTTTGTGTGCTTGGAGCCTAGTCCACTGTCCAAATTTTTAAATTTGAGGGCTCCAAGTACGTGTTTCCTTGCAATTGCCTGCTCAGTATGCTTTGAATTGACAGTCTTTATAGTAATATGCAACCTAGGGAGGTAGTGTAGCACTATGGAGGATGTTGATGCATTTAAGGAGTCTCATTTCTTCTTCATATTGAGTTGGTTGATTGAGTGAATTAGTGATCTTAGGACCCTTGAATTGTGTGGTGTTGTGGATTCTCTACCTGTCATGGACTCTTGTATTATGTTTTGAGTTTAACAGGTGCTCGAAAATGTGCTTCAAAATAACGTCTCCCGTGCGAATAGGGCGAAAGTGTGTAAGGGGAGACGGGAATCCGTTCCCAATTTCCACCTACTACCTCCAGCCCCCTTACATGTCTTTCCCCCGCACGAGGCTCGAGACATCCGCTCCTGGCATGGCCGGTAAGAGCAGGTTGGGACCCTGGAAAAGAAAAGAAAAGAAAAATAACAGAAAAAAGGGGGTTCCAACCATCTTCAAGAACAAAATAGAGCACCTCGAAAAAATGTGAGTCCATGATCCTTTGTTTTTGAGAATCTCTTCATCCACAATTCATTTGTCCTCTGTTCACTGTTTTCCATGATGCCGACTCGCCGAAGAAGTTATGACGTGACTTGTGCGTCGGTTGACCTCGTAAGTTGCTAAATGATCTAGGAAGTCCTCTACCTACGATCTGGGTTGTTTGTTGCTATAGAGGTCTGGAGAGTTGCATTGGTTTGAGTTAGGTTTGCTTGGGGACAAGCAAACGGTTAAGTGTGGGGGAGTTTGTTAGACCGATTTCACGCTAGGTTGTGCTTGTTTGTGATATTTCAGGTCCTGGCAAGTGAATGAAGGTTTAGGAGCGAGTTCGGGGTCGATTGGGTGAAGATCGGGCGCGAGACAAGTCACAAAGGAGGTCACACGGGCTGCCCTGATCTTCACACGGCCGTGTGAAGTAATGGCCTGGTCGTGCGAGTTTTGCCGAGAGCACACACGGGCAGAGCAGAGGATCGACACGGCCGTGCAAGAGGCCAGTCTGGCCGTGTGGAATTCTGCGTGAGCAAACACGGGCAAAGAGGAAGTTCACACGGCCGTGCCACTCTGGCCGTGCAAAGAGCCTGGAATTCAAACTAATTGGAATGCAGCGTTTTGACTCACACGGGCAACAGGGTAAGCCACACGGCCGTGCCACCCTGGCCGTGTGAGTCGGGATTTTCTGCTTAAAACCCGATTTTCAGCCAAAGGAGAGGAGGAGAGCTGGGTTTTGGATCCCAAACACCCAAGGGACGAACCAAAGAGAGAGAGGGCGATTTGAGGGCATTCTTGGAGTGGAGTTGGAGGATTTCTTCGCCTTGGAAGCTCGAGGAACAAGCCCGGACTTGAAGACTGATCATCTGAAGATTCTTACTGCAGTCTCTCTCTTCTCTATGGAGTAACTTCCCTTCACTTAGGTTTTGAAGAACCCTAGCTATGTTTGTTTGATTGGATGATTGTATGAGTACTCTGACTTGATAATCTTGAGTTCATATTCAATCTATGCATGTTTTCATGATTCAATTCTGCTTTAGTCAAGATTATTGATTCTGCTTTGATCCTATGAGAGGGAATACCTGATTAGGTCAATAGAGCACCATAGATTGATAGTAGTGGATCGATTGCTTTAGTCGAGGGTTGATTCACTGCTTTGTATCGATTGAGAACCTCTTTTGATAGAGGGAGTCTAGTTCAGAACGCCTTGATCAGTTGTTCTAGAGAAGGATACGTCCCTTTAGGAAATTGACTCAAGAGGGCCTTGTTCCTTTAGTCGAGACTCAAGGTCTAGTCAAGGATTCTCCGCATTGTGAATGAAAGTGAAACAAGTTGGAAATCATCAATTGTTTGTCTGGCTAGTGGCTAGGGGGAATCATACCTAAGTGAGTTCCCAACCTGTAATTAGATTAACTTTAACTGTAGTTTGCTAGAGTAGTTTTAGTTCTTTCATCTTAATCTGGTTTGCTAAATAATAAACTGAAGCTGAGTAATAGTAACTCTAGAGACCCGTGGATTCGATATTTATCACTTGAGCCACTATACTGCAGTCCCTTTCATTGCTTACACTTGGCCATTGTTAGGTGTTGTGTCGTAGCGAGTCAATATACACATAATTTTGTCCACCATTCTTGTACCGTTTTGAGTCTTATTTCTCTTGTTTTAGGCCGATTTCACGCTAGGTTGTTCTTGTTTGTGATATTTCAGGTCCTAGTACGTGAATGATGGTTTGGGAACGAGTTTGGGGTCGATTGGACGAATATTGGACGTTTGGCGAGAAGCTGAGGATTCCACACGGGCACGCCTAAAATCGCACACGGACGTTTGGCAATTGTCAGTGGTTTGCACGTATCAACAACTATCCCATCCTAAGCCAAGTTTAACCTAGGACGACATTGTTGTATTGTGGTAATCAAGGTCGTATTCTACTCGGGTCCTGGTACCCTAGCCTACTTCCCACCTTTTTGTTAACTAGGTAATCGGTTTTTGAGGTTTTGAGTGGAGGATATGAGGAAACACTAGTCTAGAGGTTGATCAAAGCTAAAAGCAGGTAGTTCAGGGAACTAATCCCCCCTAGCTTAGGGATACTATACATGTATAGATACTTAGGGTTATCGAATGTGGTGAGTGAGCTTTTTTCAGTGGGCCTTCGTCGTTATCAACACGCCTCCGAGTATGCCTCCCCTAAACCCATGTTTCAGTCACCTCAATCTAGGAAATCGTATCTGGGGCAGTAAGCTTATGGCTCATTTCAATGGACACTATCCACCATCCACATCGAGGTTTCATCCCGGGTTTTATCTAGGAAGGCTACCTAAAGCAGGGGTTCGATCGCCACGACCATTATAGGCCCCCATTCACTCATCTAACCTAAACTTCGCAAATGGCGCATACCCGTATAACCCTAGAACTCCATACCCAGTGCGGTAGCATAAAGCAGGCTAAGAGGGAAGATTGGGGCCACTTGCCCAAGCGTCATCATTTAGGAAAGAGTGACATTAAGAATCTACTAGACAAACACATTCATTCAAACCATAAAATATCCATATATACATAATAAACCCTAAACTAGGGTTTGGAGTTTAGAACCCCTAGTACCTTAGAGGAATACTCCATAAAGGAGGAAAGAAGATACATGGTAGAAATATATAGAAGAAGACTTGAAGATGGGGAGATCCTCCTTCTTCTCCTTCATCCAGAAATTTCATAAAAAATCAGCTCTCTTAAAATAGGAAAAGGGGTCTTCTATTTATAGGCATTTTGGATTCGGGGAAGTTCGTGACTTGCTGGGAGATCGCGGGTGGGATCTTCCAATGATAGGACGCACTCTCAAGACGACATCGTCATGCCCTTCTTAAGGGGGAAGATCGCGGGCTGACTTCGCGGTCGCGATCCTCGAGTCGTGACCGTGACTTTCTCGTGGGCAAGTTGAACGTTGGCCATGACGCGACTGGGGAAATTCTCTGCTTCTCCAAGGCTCCTTCTTCACGAAGTTCACTCCCTGGGACTTCAAGATCGCGGTTGCAGTCTTCACGACTGGAAATCCCGGCCTTGATCTTTGGCTTTTAGGCCACGATCTTTAATCATTGCCCCTTTTATGCACTTGTGACCTTGTTTTGTATCTAATTTGCACATATTGACTAATACACTCTATAATCACATCAAAATCAAATAGGAACGAACGAGGGATGTATTTGACAATGTTTAAAACGCTTAAGCACATGAATTGGCACAAAACATACCCTAAGATGGAGGGAAAATAACACCAATTTTGGTGTTATCAAACCACCGCGACCTCTACCACGATTTGGAACATCCACACAGCCAGCTGGTAAGAGGGTGTGTTCATCTAGTAAAACTCCATGGAGGTGAAGCACCTGCATTGAAGCGTCATAGACTTCTAACTCTGCGGAAGAGGAGGGAACGAGTAGTGTAACTCACCATGACCTAGACGACCGTTGTGAAAGAAAAAGAGTGGTAGGTACTCGTAATCCACTTTGCCCAGAAACCATCACGGTTCTCGTTCTGGCAGAATAAGCAAGATCATAACGGTGCTTCCGCATCAATCATCACTTTAGCCTTAATTGAAACCTCACTCTGACCTGGGCGATCAACATACAACCTAATATCACGAAAATCCACACCCCATCCATGTGGTTGTCAAAACGACATCCCAAATTCATAGTGCACAATTGAGGAGGGATTCTGGACATGTAAACAATGAAAGGAGCACTAGCCAGTGATCGTACCAAGGATTCAGAGATGGGCCTCCAGTGTTGAAGATGTAGAAAAAAATCCTTAACCATCCATGGGGGGCGCCGAACGATCCACTCACACAGTGGAGCATCAACCAAAATGAATCTCTAGAGACCTCTATCTGCTTCGTCGATGGTAATCGACTGTGCCGCTATGCCCCACATTTCGTTCGCCACTCTCTCCATAGTTTCTCGGGTCAAAGGTCGTGGTGAGAACAACCTACCAACCATACTGATTTGGACTTGAGTTGGATCAATCGCGACATCCTCATCATCAAAAGCGACAATCTGGTCGGTTTTTCAGCTACTTCCTCTTCGTATTTAGGGACTGAGGTATGCGGTGATGGTTGTACAGAAAACATAAGAATAACATCAGTAGCTCGAAGGGTTTTGCACTCTTCCGTGGATTAGTCCTGGATATTCCAGGGATACTGATGACTTGATATATACACATGTTTTTGTCCACCATTCTTGTACCGTTTGAGTCTTATTTCTCATGTTTTAGGCCGATTTCACGCTAGGTTGTTCTTGTTTGTGATATTTCATGTCCTAGTACGTGAATGAAGGTTTGGGAACGAGTTCGGGGTCGATTGGATGAAGATTGGACGTTTGGCGAGAAGCTGAGGATTCCACACGGGCATGCCTAAAATCCCACACGGCCGTGTGACTCGCTATGACCCAACTCCTAACAATGGCCAAGTATAACCAATGGAAGGGACTGCAGTATAGTGGCTCAAGTAATAAATATCGAATCCACGGGTCTCTAGAGTTACTATTACTCAGCTTCAGTTCATTATCTAGCAAACCAGATTAAGATGGAAGAACTAAAACTACTCTAACAAACTACAGTTAAAGTTAATCTAATTACAGGTTGGGAACACACTTAGGTATGATTCCCCCTAGCCACTAGCCAGATTAACAATTGATGATTTCTAAATTGTTTCACTTTCATTCACAATGCGGAGAATCCTTGACTAGACCTTGAATCTCGACTAAAGGATCAAGGCCCTCTTGAGTCGATTGCCTAGAGGGATGTATCCTTCTCTAGAACAACTGATCAAGGCGTTCTGAACTAGACTCCCTCTATCGAATGAGGTTCTCAATTGATACAAAGCAGTGAATCAACCCTCGATTAAAGCAATCGATCCAATACTATCAATCTATGGTGCTCTATTAACCTAATCAGGTATTTGCTCTCATAGGATCAAAGCACAATCAATAATCTCTACTAAAGCATAATTGAATCATGAAAACGTGCATAGATTGAATATAAACTCAAGATTATCAAGTAGGAGTACTCATACAATCATCCAATCAAACAAACATAGCTAGGGTTCCTCAAAACCTAAGCGAAGGGAAGTTACTACATAGAGGAGAGACTGCAGTAAGAATCTTCAGATGATCAGTCTTCAAGTCCGGGCTTGTTCCTCGAGCTTCCAAGGCGAATAAATCCTTCAATTCCACTCTTAGAATGCCCTCAAATCGCCCTCTCTCTCTTTGGTTCGTCCCTTGGGTGTTTAGGATCCAAAAACCCAACTCCCCCTTTCCTTTGGCTTCAATCTGCCTCAAAAACCCGATTCTGGGCAAAACACGGTCGAGGACACGACCGTGTTTTGCTTTTTCCCGGCCGTGTTTTGCTTTTGCCCATCCGTGCCCTTGCCACGTGTTAAAAACACGCCCGCGTCGGCCAAAACACGGTCGTGCCTAAATATGGACACGACCGTGTTTTTCTTTAGGCCAGCCCGTGTTTTGATTTTTCCATCAGTTCAGCTCTCGCACATAAAAACACTGGCGTGCCTGTCTGTGTACACGGCCGTGTTCTTCAGGCCTCCTGCCCGTGTTTTGCCCCCAGCTCGACCGAATGACCTCCAAACGCCCCGAATCTTGTGCTTAGCCTTTTCTTCGACGTCTGGGACCTGAAATATGACAAAGTAGCACAACCCACCGTAAAACGGGCCAAAAATAAACGACTACTAGCCGCAAACGGATAAGAACTAAGGGTGCAAATATGTGCTATTACTGGTCTATCAGCGTGTGACTTGTCCGTGTGGCACCATTTTGCACGAGCAAGCCACACTGGCCGTGTAGGGTACCCCTTGTGGCCGTGTGGAAAGTCCAGGGATCTAACACGGCCAGCCTGGAAATCCACACGGCCGTGTGTCCCTAGCCGTGCAGCATGCCTGAAAACCCACTAATCGAAACACCGCGTTTTGACATCCACACGGGCTGACTGGGAGACCACACGGCCGTGTGGCCTGGCCGTGTGGTCGGGGAATTCTAGTTTTTAACCCAATTTCGATCCAAAAGTGAGGGAATGGAGTTTTTGGAGCAAGAAATAGAGCCCTAGAGAGAGAAAGTGCGAAGAACACATCCTAGAGGTGATTTTGGAGCTGGTTTTCATCAATCAAGCTTGGAGATCATCATAGGAGTGAAGATCATCATCCCAGAGCAGATTTTCCTCATCTTTATGAGTATGACTACTCTGATTATTGCTTTCCTCTCTCTCTCCCTATGGAGTAGAACCTTCTCTCACTTGGGTATGAAGAACCCTAGTTCCATGTGTTAGGGATCTTGATTGTAATGACTTGGGATTGTTATACTGTTTGATTTTAATCGATTGATGCATGATTCATTGAGTCAATTGAAGTCTGATCATCTTTTCTTGATTTCTGCTGCAACCTGAGATAGATAGAATCTGATTAGGTTGCTAGAGCTTCATCAATCGGTAGTGGTAGATTGGTTATACGAGAGTTAATCAATCTACTGCTTTGTACTGGAACCCAATTCCAGTAGTGGAATTCTGTGCTTAGTGCCTCAACAGTCTATCCGGTGAAGGTTAGTCGCCTGACGGTTAGCCTGCCTGAGAGGGCTTGGTCAGCTTAAGAGATTCCAAGCTACTGTCGGATCTTCCGCAGTTTAATAAACAGTTAATCAACCCAGGGTAATTACAACTGAGACCTAACTAAGGAGATAGGGAGACTCATTCCCGAGTGACTCTTACTTTGCTTTAGAAAACTGAATCATTTCCTGTTTTCTTACTACTTTTACTTAAATCAACAATCACTCGACTTAGTCTGCTAGATAACAGATATACACGGAGTAGGCAGTAGATCTAGATCCCGGGTTGACAATTAGAGCTTGCCTGTTACTGCATTTCCAGACTGCGATTACACTTGGTCGTAGTTTGGTGTTGTGTTTTAGCGTGTCAAGTTTTTAGCGCTGTTGCCGGGGAACCTCTAGGTTATTGGGGAAACGTGAAAGTTTGTTACTCTAGCATTTTCATTCTGCATTTTCTCTCTTCCACCTGTGCGCCTTCACGGGTTGCTTTTGCTGATTGTGTGCAGGTAGTGCATGACCCATAGCCAGTCGGGAGATTTACTAACATTAGACCAAGAGCTTGAACGAACCTGAAGGAACTTCAAGCGGGCTCTAAAGGTGTGACTGGCTGCGGAGGAGGCCTTAGCACAACTTCAAATCACCGAGGAGGAAGAGATGGGTGACCCACAGGACCATGATGTGGTCCTTCCCGAGGAGCAAACCATGGGGTACTACTGGACCGCCAGAGCCGCGGACAGGAGGTCGCCCATTCAACACCCTCAAGTCCCAGCCAAAAACTTTGAGGTGAGCACCTCGGTCATCACTATGTTGCGCGGCTCGGTAGTATTCCGTGGCAAAGAGGGGGAGTGCCCCTGATCACATCTAAGGTGATTCCACGAGCTCATCTATGGAATCAAGATAAATGGGGTCTCAGCCAATGCCATCCAGCTGAGGTACTTCCCATTCACTTTGGAGGGGCAGGCCAAGGAGTGGCTGGACACCAGGCCCCCTGCATCGATCACCACGTTCACCAACCTGGCGGACAAGTTCCTCACTCGCTATCATCCCCCGTCCAAGAAGGCGGACTTGCAGAAGCAGATCACCCACTTTACCCAGGATGAAGAGGAGACCATCCGGGACGCATGGGAGAGATACACCAGTCTCTTCCTGAGGTGTCCCAATCATGGTTTCAATGATGATTTCAAGGTGGGCAACTTCTACCACGCCCTCTTCTCAGAAGACAAGCAGCTGATTGACTCGGTTTGTGGCGGGAACATGCTGACCAAGACGCCGCCGCAGTTGAATCGGCTCTTTGAGGAGATGGCAGAGAAAGGGTATGATTGGGGTACTGCTAGGAGGTCGAGGAGAGCACCATGCCGAGGTGTACATGCTGTGGGAACCCACTCTTCTGATTTGGTGCAGGTTGTGTCTAAACTGGTCTCAGCCATCGATCGGAATGAGATGGTTCCGGGGATAGGGTAGCAGCTGGCAATGCGTTGCCAGTGGTGCGAGAGCGCCCATCATACTATAGAGGAGTGCCAGGCCATGCGTGAGTCCAGTACACCCCAGGAGCAGGTGAGCTTCATCAACAATGTCCAGCGCAACAACCAATACAGTAACACCAACAGTGAGGGATGGCGCCAGCATCCAAATTTCTCCTGGAGTGGTAACAGCAATCCGAAGCCACCTGGCTTCCAAGCTCCTGCAGCTAGTTTTCCGAACCAGAGGCAGCCATACCAGCCTCGCCCAGGCCAGATGCAGCATCAACAACCACTCTATCAGCCTAGATAGGGGCAGGCTTTTCAACAGCCCCCACAGCAGTAGTACCAGCAGCCTGGTGCATCTCCATCAGTCCCAGCACCGGGCGACCCCGTGTCAAAACTAAGGGATCTAGTGACTACCTTGGCCAACACTAGTACCCAAAAGTTCAATAAATTGGAGCAGTTCATGGAAGTGGTTGTAGGCAAATTCATGGAGATTGAAGCGGGCCAGAGAAACTAGCAAGCACTCCTGCAGGATATGGACACTAATATCGGGCACCTGGAAGATGCCCTTGCCTTCAGACCGGCTGGCACACTTCCTGGCCAACCCCTACCGAATCCCAGAAATCATAAGGAGGGGTTACACGCCATTATGCTGAGAAGTGGGACTGTGACTGCGGATGCACCGCAGAAGAGTGCCAAGAAGGTGACCCAGATCACCCCAGAGCCGGAAGAAGACCTGGTGATGGAAAAGGGGCCAGAGGATGAAGCTCCAAAGCCACAACCAGTAGTGGCTGAATATAAGCCTAAGCTCCCTTTTCCCACCATGATTTACAAAGACAGGCTAGAGGCAGAGTTCGACAACTTCTCATCCATGCTTAGGAAGCTTCATGTTCAAGTTCCCTTCATGGAGGCACTATCTCTGATGCTTAGGTACGCGAAGTTCCTGAAGGAGCTTCTCTCGAAGAAGCGGAGGCTGAGCGAGCTAGCCACTGTGGAGCTCAGCGAGGAGTGCTCGGCCATTCTGCAGAACAAGCTTCCGCAGAAGCAGAAGGACCCAGGTAGTTTTACTATCCCGTGCTCTATAGGTAAATTGCATGTAGAGAGGTCCTTGGCGGATCTAGGTGCTAGTATTAATGTGATACCATATAAATTGTTCAAGAAACTAGGCCTAGGTGAACCCAGTGCAACTAGGATGAGTATTCAACTAGCTGACCGATCTATAGTTCATCCTAGGGGCATAGTGGAAGACCTTCTGGTTAAGGTTGGAAGATTCTTTTATCCAGTGGATTTTGTTGTCTTGGACATCAATGAGGACACAAAAGTGCCCCTTATACTGGGAAGGCCTTTCCTGGCCACCGCCAAGGCTCTTATAGATGTACATGATGGGACCTTAGTCTTGAGGGATGGCGAGGAGCGAATAACGTTTTCCATTGCTAATACTCTCCATGCTTCATCGCCTTTGCATGTTGTTTCTCACCAGGAGCAAGAGTCTGTTGTGTATCCTTCTATGCTTCCCATTTTGCAGGACCCCCCTTCCATACCCTCGCCGCCACTCCCGTCCACTCCGTTACCAAAGGAAAAGATCAAGGAGGAGTGGCGGCCAAAACTGCCGGTAGCTAAGCCTGCTAAAAAGGAAGCAGGAGACCACTATGAGCTGGTCCCGCCTCTTGAGCCTCGACCGCCTTGGCCATCCGAGTATTCACTCGCTTGGTTATACGAGAGTTAATCAATCTACTGCTTTGTACTGGAACCCAATTCCAGTAGTGGAGTTCTGTGTTTATTTCCTTAGCAGTCTATCCCGGTGAAGGTTAGTCGCCTGGCGATTAGCCTGCCTGAGAGGGCTTGGTCAACTTAAGAGATTCCAAGCTACTGTCGGATCTTCCGCAGTTTAATAAACAGTTAATCAACCTAGGGTAATTACAACTGAGACCTAACTAAGGAGCTAGGGGGACTCATTCCCAAGTGACTCTTCCTTTGCTTTAGAAAACCGAATCATTTCCTTCTTTCTTACTGCTTTTACTTAAATCAACAATCACTCGACTTAGTCTGCTAGATAACAGATATACACGGAATAGGCAGTAGATCTAGACCTCGGGTTGACAATTAGAGCTTGCCTGTTACTGCATTTCCAGACTGCGATTACACTTGGTCGCAGTTTGGTGTTGTGTTTTAGCGTGTCAAATTTTTGGCGCCGTTGCCGGGGAACCTCTAGGTTATTGGGGAAACATGAAAGTTTGTTACTCTAGCATTTTCTTTACTGCATTTTCTCTCTTCCACCTGTGTGCCTTCACGAATTGCTTTTGCTGATTGTGTGCAGGTAGTGCATGACCCGTAGCCAGTCGGGAGATTTACTACCATTAGACCAAGAGCTTGAACGAACCTGTAGGAACTTCAAGCAGGCTCTAAAGGTGCGACTGGCTGCAAAGGAGGCCTTAGCACGGCTGCAAATCACCGAAGAGGAAGAGATGGGTGACCCACAGGACCATGATGTGGTCCTTCCCGAGGAGCAAACAATGGGGTACTACTGGACCGCCAGAGTCGCGGACATGAGGTCTCCCATTCAGCACCCTCAAGTCCCAGCCAACAACTTTGAGGTGAGCACCTCGGTCATCACTATGTTGCGCGGCTCGGTAGTATTCCGTGGCAAAGAGGGGGAGTGCCCCGATCACATCTGAGGCGATTCCACGAGCTCATCGATGGAATCAAGATAAATGGGGTCCCAGCCGATGCCATCCAGGTGAGGTACTTCCCATTCACTTTGGAGGGGCAGGGCAAGGAGTGGCTAGACACCAGACCCCCTGGATCGATCACCACGTTCGCCAACCTGGCGGATAAGTTCCTCACTCGCTACCATCCCCCGTCCAAGACGGCGGACTTGCAGAAGCAGATCACCCACTTTACCCAGGATGAAGATGAGACCATCTGGGATGCATGGTAGAGATACACCAGTCTCATTCCCGAGTGACTCTTCCTTTGCTTTAGAAAACCGAATAATTTCCTTCTTTCTTACTGCTTTTACTTAAATCAACAATCACTCGACTTAGTCTGCTAGATAATAGATATTCACGGAGTAGGCAGTAGATCTAGACCCCGGGTTGACAATTAGAGCTTGCTTGTTACTGCATTTCCGGACTGCGATTACACTTGGTCGCAGTTTGGTGTTATGTTTTAGCGTGTCAGATACCACGTAAATCGATTGTGTGTCTCGTGGTTCTCATTTTCAATTCCGACTAGATCATCTGTCAAATACGGTTAAACTATTAACTAAAGCTTCACAAGTAGAGAGGATACGGTGAATACACTGCCACAAAAAGAAGAGCAATTTCAGAGGAACCTTCCTTCCCCAAACCCAATTCCAAACTGTCGAATCCATCAAATCAATCCTGGGTTTAGCAAGAATCTGACGATTGCAACGAAAAGGAAAATGAAGTGCATATTTTACCATGAAAAGCCCTTTTTAATCATACTGCCATATAAGAGAATCTTGTAGTCTTGCCTGCGATACTGGAATGTTTTGAATCTTCCTAGCATAATCTGCATCGAAAAAATGATGCAGTGCAGCAGAGTTCCACGAGAGATTGTCAGTGGTTTGCGCGTATCAACAACTATCCCATCCTAAGCCAAGTTTAACCTAGGACGACATTGTTGTACTGTGGTAATCAAGGTCGTATTCTACTCGGGTCCTGGTACCCTAGCCTACTTCCCATCTTTTTGTTAACTAGGTAACCGGTTTTTGAGGTTTTGAGTGGAGGATATGAGGAAACACTAGTATAGAGGTTGATCAAAGCTAAAAGCAGGTAGTTCAGGGAACTAATCCCCCTAGCTTAGGGATACTATACATGTATAGATACTTAGGGTTATCGAATGTGGTGAGTGAGCTTTTTTCCTTGGGCCTTCGTCGTTATCAACACGCGTCCGAGTATGCCTCCCCTAAACCCATGTTCCAGTCACCTCGATCTAGGAAATCGTATCTGGGGCAGTAAGCTTATGGCTCATTTCAATGGACACTATCCACCGTCCACATCGAGGTTTCATCCCGGGTTTCATCTAGGAAGGCTACCTCAAGCAAGGGTTCGGTCACCTCGACCACTATAGGCCCCCATTCACTCATCTAACCTAAACTTGCCAAATGGCGCATACCCGTCTAACCCTAGAACTCCGTACCTAGTGCGATAGCATAAAGCAGGCTAAGAGGGAAGATTGGGGCCACTTGCCCGAGCGTCATTATTTAGGAAAGAGTGACATTAAGAATCTACTAGACAAACACATTCATTCATTCAAACCATAAAATATCCATACATACATAATAAAACCTAAACTAGGGTTTGGAGTTTAGAACCCCTAGTACCTTAGAGGACTACTCCATAAAGGAGGGAAGAAGATACATGGTAGAAATAGAAGAAGACTTGAAACTGGGGAGATCCTCCTTCTTCTCCTTCATCCAGAAATTTCATCCAAAATCAGCTCTCTTAAAATAGGAAAAGGGGTCTTCTATTTATAGGCATTTTGGACTCAGGGAAGTTCGCGACCTGCTGGGAGATCGCAGGTGGGATCTTCCGATGATAGGCCGCCATCTCAAGACGACATCGTCATGGCCTTCTAAAGGGGGAAGATCGCGAGCTGACTTCGCGCTCGCGATCCTTGAGTCGTGACAGTGACTTTCTCGCGGGCAAGTTGAACGTAGGTCGTGTCACGACTGGGGAAACTCTCTGCTTCTCCAAGGCACCTTCTTCGCGAAGTTCACGCCCTGGGCCTTCAAGATCGCGGTCTCAATCTTTGACTTCTGGGCCGCGACTTTAGCGAGTCTTCACGACTGGAAATCCCGGCCTTGATCTTTGGCTTTTAGGCCACGATCTTTAATCCTTGCCCCTTTTATACACTTGTGACCTTGTTTTGTATCTAATTTGCACATATTGACTAATACACCCTATAATCACATCAAAATCAAATAGAAACGAACGAGGGATGTATTTGACAATGTTTAAACGCTTACGCACATGAATTGGCACAAAACATACCCTAAGATGGAGGGAAAATAACAGCGATTTTGGTGTTATCAAACCACCGTGACCTCTACCACGAGTTGGAACATCCACACAGCCCGCTTGTAAGAGGGTGTGTTCATCTAGTAAAAATCCATGGAGGCGAAGCACCTACATTGAAGCGTCATACACTTCTAACTTTGTCGGAGGAGGAGGGAACTAGTAGTGTGACTCACCATGACCTAGACGGTCGTTGTGAAAGAAAAAGAGTGCAAGGTACTCGTAATCCACTTTGCCCAGAAACCATCACGGTTCTCATTCTGGCGGGATAAGCAATATCATAACGGTGCTTCCGCATCAATCATTACTTTAGCCTTAATTGAAACCTCACTCTGACCTGGGCGGTCAACATACAACCTAATCTCACGAAAATCCACACCCCATCCATGTGGTTGTCAAAACGACATCCCAAATTCATAGTGCACAATTGAGGAGGGATTTTGGACATGTGAACAATGAAAGGAGCACTAGCCAGTGATCGTACCAAGGATTCAGAGATGGGCTGCCAGTGTTGAAGATGTAGAACAAAATCCTTAGTCGTCCATGGGGAGCGACGAACGTTTCACTCACACAGTGGAGCATCAACCAAAATGAATCTCTAGAGACCCCTATCTGCTTCGTGGATAGTAATCGACTGTGCCGATGTGCCCCACATTCCGTTCGCCACTCTCTCCATAGTCGCTCGGGTCAAAGGTCGTGGTGAGAACAACCTACCAACCATACTGATTTGGACTTGAGCCGGATCAATCCCGACATCCTCATCATTAAATGCTACAATCTGATCGATGTCCATCGGGTCCATGCTTGCCACCAACCGTTGAATCGGTCGCCCCACTAACCAGGTGTGGAACCAGAGCAGCACTAGGAACAAAGCAGAACCAATAGAATAAATGAAAAATCTGATACATGTAGGGTGGGCGGAAATGCAGTAGAACTGAAGACTCTGAAAACTGCCCCTTTAAATCTATCAGTTGGGGGTTGATAAAAGAAACTAAATTACACACATGGGGGATACCCACGACTGCCCACTAATCCATCGACCGTGAAACAATCGCGGATAGCAATAAACATGCGCCATTGAATCAGCAACTACTGGCAAGTGATGGAACTGCCCATCGACCGAAAAACGTAACCCAAGTTCTCGCAATCGCTTTCATTTTCTCTCTCCATTTTCTCTCCCCCTCATGTACTTTATTTTTATTTTACAAGAAGTCTTTCTTTGGTGGGTTGAACTAGGTCGTTGAGCCTATTGGACCTTCATTGATATGTGGGTCTTTGAGCCTTCCGGCTCACGAGTCTAGATAGTCATGCCAGATAAACAGGTTAACGTGGTGGGGTCCTTGTCTAGTTTGGCTAGATGGTTGGGGGCAATTAGGTAGATTATGTTATCCCTCATTATGATATCACTGACTGATGGTTTCTTTCTTTGTTGTTCATACTACCCTCCTGAGTAAAGGTGGATCCCAGAGTCAAATATTGTAATATCAAATAGTAGTTTAAAATCAATTTTAATTTTTATCTCAAACAGATTTGGTATCTCAATTCTGATCTCTAAATATTTTGGTATGATACTGTTATTCAGAAAATGTCGTTGAGGGAACTAAAAGCTCATGGCGATGATCTATTTAAATATAAAAAATATACTTTTAATTGACATGTCGTTGATGTGTCAAACATGGACGATTAGCAATGTTGTCAGAACCGAGCCGGAGTATGATCCGGTAACATGAACGGCTCGCACTTTAGTGGTCCAACCGGTATTTGACCGTTAAAAAATCGTTAGAGAACCGGTAGCTTATAAATAATAATATCATAAGTAGAAGACATATAATGTAGCAATTTAATAGTTTAATGACTAAAAAGATATTTACCCTTCAAGTACCAGTTAGTAAGTTTTCCATTTATATATATTAGCTAAGACAACAAACTCTAACCCCCACCCACCCCACTCCCTAGCGGCAGCGCCGCTTCCCCCACCCCCTATCTCTTTTCAACCTTCTTCCTTCTCTCTCTCTCTAAATTCCAAAAAATAGATATGCCTTCTCTCTCACCCCTACAGTGATGGCCGACGACGATGAAGGGACGGGATGGAGGACAGAGGCTAGTTGGCAGCGCCTCTTCTCTGCTTGAGAGGGAGCGCCAGATAGGAACCAACAGCGCTGCCACTGAGATCGGAAGGGATTGCCACGCTTCGACTGTAGGAGAAGAAGTTAGTGAGAGGAGTTTTATTGTGCTGGCGAAATCCCAGAAGATGATGGGTTCGCCGGCAGAGGTGTATCCTCGGAAAATCGGCAGATTGAACCCATAATTTCTTGGTTTAGTTTTTTTATTTATTTATTTTCGGTCATAGTCCAAAAACCGGCAGACGGTTCGAGTGGCTCGAATGGTTAACCATTTTGGCCGCTCAAAACCCGATCTTTCTGGCCGTTACGGCTATTGGAGAGTTCCGACCTGAGCTGACGTCTAGGTGATCCAAACGACCGGCTCGGTTCGGCTTTAACAATAGTGACGATTAGCTTACGTGAAACTCTGTTAAGGCTAACATTAACTTTAACGAAAAATGACTATAATTTTGTTGTGTTATGAATGGTTTAGTTAATAGTTCGTATTCTCGAGGGTCTGGCTAATATTATAGAATCCATAAAAGATTTTGGCTAAAAGAAGTATTTATCTTTATAAATTTTAAAAATATATAATTTCATTTACATGGTTCTGTCAAGCACATGGTCTGACGATTAGCTTACGTATAATTTTGTTAAGGCCAATATTAACTTTAACGCAAAATGGCTATAATTGTGTAACATTAGAAAATGAGGTTTTTTCCATAACTATTGCGATTTAAAAAAATTACCCGAAATACATTGGTTGTAAATATTCAATTACTCACCACGAATGGTTGTCTACTCTCATCCATGAACACTCTAAACCACTGCATGTAGTTCGTGTGAGCCCGATGTAGGTGCGGTAACCACCTCGCAACACGTGGATGTGAATCCTCAGTGACAGACTGCCAGTTGCGTGTATCTAAAGGGGCAAGGGCTGGAAATCGCTCCCACACCCATGCAGCCTCCAAGATCACCTCCCATAGTTGGTGCAGATGTCATCCTCAAAGTGGTCCTACCAAGCTCCCGATACAAGTATGCTAATACAGTTGCGCCCTATGTATAACCTCCTGCACGTGCCCAATCCTCGAGAAGTAGACCATACATAAGATGCATCTCAGCTCCAGATCGATCAGGAAACATCACTCCTCCTAAAAGCAGCATGCAATATGCTCGCGCATACTGACTCATAGTATGATCTGAAGCTCCCTCTGGCAAGGTAGTGAACGCGTCCTAAGCCAAGAATACTTAAAACGTCCATTTGCAAGATCTGATCGCTGCTCTATAAGAGGAATTTTCTCAAGTAGACTCGTGCATATATCATCCCATGATGAGTTCGGTATATCTAGGATCACAGCCTGTCCGTCGACTAATAGTCATGTAAGAACGATAACATCCTCCAAAGTAATGGTACACTCGCCACAAGGGAGGTGAAAAGTGGAGGTCTATGGTCGTCAATGCTCCACTATTGCCGTGGTCAAGCCAGAATCACCATGAAACGGGGCAAGCTCCATAACAGTATACAATCCAGCTGCCCAAATGTATGGTTCATAAACCCGTAATACTTGCCTAATATAGATGTACCTTGAGTCTTATATGGACGAATCAAAGCCTATATTCATCATCATGTAACCAATTTAAACAAAAAATAAGTATATCACACTATAACTTTACTGTAAATCTAGAATATTCATAACCACTAATCAAATACTATACTAATCCATGCTAACTCAAACAAAATTTAATAACTTATAATTCATAACCACTTATATAGATAAAAAATACAAACTTAAACAATTCATAATCACTAATGAGTAATTTTCCCTAATCCAAACTAATTAAATAACTTATAATTCATAAATTAAAGTACATACCTCATTTGCGCAAACCAAATTGGCTCGATGTTCACCATCCGCCCATAATAATTCGTTTTCTAATGGAGTCGGCTTTAAAGTTCTAGGTGGCGGCATCAAAGCATATTGATCATAAACCATAGGAGCTGCAATTAACGCACAAAACATAATTAAAAACATGTAGAAAAACCTTTCTGGAGGGTTGTCGCCGGTAACCGTTAACTGGCCGCCGGTAACCGGAACCTCACCGTCGGCAATATATAGAAGGAGATTAGCGGGACTCACGGCGAGCTATTGATCGTCGACCGCCACCTCTGCCTCTGGCTCTCCTTCGGCAACCAAGGTCAGGATTCTCGACATGGTCCCTCCTCCATCGTTAAACTCTTTGGCTTCCATGGCCGGCGAATGAAAAAGGAGAGTTGGAGAAGTCGATTTCCGGCGGGTTTTGGGCAGTTGATGGCGAGGAAGCGATTTCCGAAGGGTTTATGTGGCGAGGAAGCGATCACCAAATCTAATCCAAGAACTTTGACCAATTCATTTTTTCCTTTATTAATTAATAATAATTTTCTTAGCAGCATCGAGAGAACCCTTTTCCCTCTGTCTTCTCCGACTTGCTCTTCCTCGCCGCTTCTAATCTTCTTCTTTTTCCTCCGTCGTTGTTCTTCTTTATAACACCCTAGTCCGGCCGGACACTAACTTTACCAAAATACCCTTGATAAATCGTAAACCAAAATAAGAACTGAAAAGAGTTAGAAAAATAGCAAAACTTTTCATAAATAACTTTAACGTTTGCTGAAGTAAACTGAAATCTCTTAAGAGCAAGCCCTAACACTTGCGCAAACCTCAACCATAGCATATTAATATGAATCCCCAGTCTATACTCATAAACGTAAAGAAATAACTAAAACTCTACTTTGTTATATGCTCGGATTCGATCTCTGGCACCTTCAGTGACGCTTGTACTATCCTCCTCTAGCTGGCTTGCCTCGAACGGTTCCCTCGATCTCGCTGCTCTCTAACTTCCCTTCTAGCTAGTTGCTATCGATCTGGTTCTCGCTCATTCCTTTACTAAGGCCTGGTGAGTGAGTTGGGGTCAGTCTACTCCCTTACGTTTTAAACTTTCTAATAATTTTGCACTTCTTCTCAAACACTTAAACTCAAACTGAGGGAAGTTGTTTGTACTTCCATTCTTAAAAATCTTAACTCTTAAAACTATATGGGAGTAACTATTACTCTCCATTCTTAAAGCTCAAATCTCGACTTAAATATTTGACTGACACGGGGATCCCTCACTAGCTAGTCCGGTTGCCAACTTATACGTATGAGAAGCCATCAAAGCTTTCCTTAAACTTAAACTTATTGTGGAAGACTCTTCTTCCACGATTCTCAATAGCATAACTGCTGCTCTGTCTCAAAGATCTCAAGAGCATAACTGCTTCTCTGTCTCAAAGATCTCAAGAGCATAACTGCTGCTCTATCTGAAAATATCAGATGGCAACGGACTGGCGCTAGTGACTAAAAACACTTAAAACGATTTCACCTTCTTCGAAGGTGAAGTACTTCTTAAAAGGACTTGTTCTTAAGCTTTAACAAGCACTCATACACGTAAACTTCAAAGTAAGAGATAAACTCAAACACCTTCACTTCAAATCATACCTCAACCAAAGCACATACTATCAAACATAATCATGCAATCTCAAACATGAATCAAACACTACACATACATAACGTAAATCGATACTTGAAAATACTCAAGGCAAATATTTGAAAAACCGTAAGGCGTAGAATTTACCCCCTTTACACTCACCTTACGTCGAAGCGGATTGAATTGAATCAACTATAGGAATCAATTTCCCTTCACTTGATCATCACCTGACTGCTCGGAAACAACCCCACCATGACAAGGGCGACGTGTCCTAATGCCAAGCAACCACGTCCCAAAAGTCATCCCGCTGCACCATTGTATTGATTCTCCTCTGCCAGCTATAATGAACTAGGATCTGAATTGTGACCCATCTCCCTTCCAACTGCTTCTCCTGCATGCTCCAACGGTTAGCTCCACTAAGCAAGCAGCTGTCGTAGTAGACAACGCCATCCATATCTCTCTCTGTCCCCTGTTCGTTTTGCCAGATAAATTTCGTTGGTTATTGAGTAGTTGCTTCGTCCCCTCACTTCCATTCACCGGTCGTTGGAGAATTGGTTGATCCTGGAACTCCACGGAGTTAAGAAGGCGGAATAGGAGTCAAGTGATTCGCACTCCATTCATCATCTCGTGGATCCGTTGGCGGCTAAACAATCAACCATTGAGATGTAACCCACTTTTTCCCCAAGAGTCTCATACGCCACCGATCTCTTTCGACGCAAGCCCCAGGCCGAGCCACGCACCTGCTTACATCTCCTCCGCCTTCGTCTGCGCGCCGTTGTTCCCCATCTCGCCTCCTGCGTGCTTAGGCAAGCACGTCCCATAGTAGAGAGCGAAATCATGGAGTGCTGATGAGTTCCCGCCTCCTGCTTAAGCACATCTTCTGGCGGACAGTGAAATCGGAGAGGGCCGATGAGTTCCCCCTGCGCTGATGAGTTCCAACTCCTGCGTGCTTAGGCAAAGTCCATCTCGCGACAGAAGAGGAATCAGGGAGAAAGGATCGTGGGCGGGCGCTTTTGTGCTGATGAGACCACATAAGGAATGGGATTAGGGTTGGGTCTGGGTTTTGGTTAACCCCTAGCCCGGGTTTTATCCTAAGGGTGCGTTTAATCCGAAACTCAACTAACATCCATAACTGAGAGTTCGTATTTTTTTGTCCTCGTCGATATTATGATGGAATTTCCACAAATTTCCATAAGGGGATCGTGGTGTAACATTCTTCCTCTTGCCCAAACGCTAAATTGAATACAGCGCCGATAATAATTAATTATGTCTTCCTTTTCCCTCCTTTGCCCAGCCCCCACCCTATCATCGATTGGATAGACTGTCATGTTGCTCAGCGAAACCAGCTCAGAGTATTTCACTCACATCGGCAGAGCAAAGATGTTGAATCTGTTGTTGCATGCTCTCTTCTTACCATTGATGTGTCGACTCCAATCACCTCTCGTCCTAACCCTCAAATATGTCGACCAGTTTGCCTCTTTGTATCTCCTGCAGATGTGCCAGTACAACTCTCTTCAAGCTCCAAGTTTGTACAGTAATTTTTCTCAATCGATTAATTGATGCTGCCTTGGACTGAATGTCAGTCTAGAGGGAGAAAAAAAGGGGAGTCACGATTGTCTGCGCGCGACATGGTTATCGAAGCCCGAAGATGGGAATTTTGATTCAGACAATAAAACACGTTAGAGAAGCGTTGAAATCGATGGAAGGATGGGTGAAGATTGGTACCGGTGGTGGATGATCCTTTGCGTGGAAGATGGTAATTGCATGTTTCAAAGTTTTGTCATTGCAACAATGGCGGGGATCAAAAGTCTCAAATCAATTTGGAAAGGAGGAACTGTGGGGGATGAATGGTGAGAATGAGAGAGACGGCAGTGATCAAAGAATAGGGCGGAATCCAAAAGTAAAAATGAGGGATCGAAGATAATCTCGACCTTAGTGCCGAAGACGATCTAGCGGTGCGGCTGAAGGACTGATCACCTTCAGAATCGCAAGCAGAGACGATCTCCAGCTGTTGCGGCTGTGGAATCAGTAGTGATTGAGCCGAAGACTCAAATGGAGACTGGATTAGAGGAAACAGCTGGGACAGAGAGCTCGCAGACGAGGACGCTGCGGCAATTGCAAAAATCGATGGGGAGATCATCGACGAGTCGAAGCCCACAGCGGAAGCAGCTCGCAAGGTGCGAGGCGAGAGGATGAGGATGGGTGTTGATTAATTATTTCTTTTTTTTAATCAAAAAATTGACATGTCATTAAGTTAACAATCCAGTCAGCATTTCAGTTTGTCACGTCATCAATAAACTGACAGAGTTAATAGAGATTGACAGTCGGTGACTAACGGTGAAACAATTCGTAAATTTAATGGCAAATAAGAAAGAAAAGTGATTCGAGTGACAAACATGAAAGATTATGTAATTTAGCCATTATGAAATGCATGATCGATTTGGCTATTTTATACACGTTCAGAATCAGTGCATAACTGCATTTTTTTTTTTTGGTAGATATATAGTTCTTTTTTTTTGGCGCCTCCGTCGCCACTACCTCACTGCAAACACGCAAGCAGAGATCTCAGTCACTTACTCTCTCTCATCTGTTCTCTGCACTCAGCGTCCAGCTTTCTCCAATCCAATCGTCAAATCTTTCCTTTGGATTGGATGGAGCGGGACGGCCATCGGTATCTTCTTCCTCATCTCATTGATTTCGGTGTTTGCAAATTTAATTTCGACGCCCTTCTTCCTCCAGCTTTTTGGCGCTCTTACGCTCCCTCCCGCATTTACTCTTGCACACTCCACCTCGCCTTTTCATTCGACCAATTCTCTGTTCTGGGTTTTCATCGAACGGTCGCTCTCTCTCGCTCTCTGCACCTTTTGGGTCCATCTGATCTCCGACTCCAAACATTCGGATGGCTTCTTCCCTCCACTCCCCTTTCCTAACTAAGCAATCTCTGGGTTTCTCTACAACATAAGCAATCCTTCTTCCTCACTCCAACTACTGGGAGTTTTTGCGGCGTTTAATCTTTGCCCACACTTACTGCGAACTGGGTCAACAATGGCGATGATAAGCAAACCTCTAGTCTTCACTTATATCTACCTTCTCATCTACATCCTCCTCTCATCCGGAGTCATTCTCTACAACAAGGTATACGCACTTGCCCTCTCCTTGCATGTCTTGTTATGCACAAGCACAACTTTCTGAATCCTGCCTGCTGCTGACACTTTCCATGTTGCAGTGGGTTCTCTCGCCCAAGTATTTCAACTTCCCCTTCCCCATCACCCTCACTATGATTCACATGGCATTCTCCGGCATGGTTTCCTTCTTCCTCGTCCGCGTTTTCAAGGTCTGCCTAGCATCCTCCCATTCCTTTTCTTTTTTCTTCTCTTCTATTTTCGAGCGTCGCACTGTCATATGCTCATTACTGCTACTGTCTGCTTGAGTTTCTGCGCTTCCAAGTTGATAGGAAAACCTTGTATGGTCTATGCATTGTTCTTGCTTGATGATTGTTATTGCCATTGCCTGATTACTTACTTTTGGGGAGAAAAGAAGAAGAAAACACATATCCTTCTGAATGCTACACAAAAACACAATCCCCAAGCATACCCTCAACTTTGTTTTCCCATATTCCTCAAGGGCAAAATTTTGCTTAATCCTGGTCTTTAATTTCCTTGTTTTCTTGATTATGTTTGATATCTTTTTATTCCTATTTCGTTTGTGCACACTGTAGCTCTTACATTATGTCTCTATTTCGTTTGAATATGTGCAGGTTGTGTCTCCTGTCAAAATGACCTTCGAAATGTATGTATTTTCTTTCTGAATTTTCTCATGATTTTGAAGCCCCTTTCATTTCCAATCTTAACTTTTCACCCCCTGGTGTTGCAGTTATGTCACTTGTGTCATACCCATAAGTGCCTTCTTCGCTGCGAGTCTTTGGTAAGATTGTAAATGTTATTGCTTTGTATATTCTGTTACATGAAACTGAGTAACTCTTCAGGCTGCTCCATTGCCTGAATATTGCAACATATTCTGCATGATCATAATTTGCTAAGTAGTAATGTTAATGCAAGTTAGGTGAGACAAACAGTCCTGTTGTGCATTGCATTACCTGAATAACGAGATTTCATTACTACACTATCATGGTCAAAACTCAGATCCTTATTTTGAAGTCTGCGACTTCCATGTTCAGCAAAACTATATGTTCAAAATGTCATTTGATGTCTCATGTCTTGAACCTTCTATTTTTGTATTATAAGCCCGTCATATCCTTATGCTTTAACTTCAAACTTCTGATGCCTATGCACTAATTCATGATATGCAGGTTTGGCAACACTGCTTATTTATATATTTCAGTTGCCTTCATCCAGATGCTTAAGGCTTTGAGTAAGTGGATTCGAAGTGTGGTAACTTTATTCTCTGTCTAAATGATCTCTTTTGTTTGATCTAACTTCCTACGTGCTCATCTAGTTGGTGATTTTGCCTTTGCAGTGCCTGTGGCAACTTTTATAATGGCTATTATGTGTGGCACTGACAAAGCAAGGTGTGACGTGTTCTTAAACATGTTGGTGGTCAGTGTTGGAGTTGTTGTTTCCTCGTATGGGGAAATCCATTTTAATGTAGGTGGCACAGTTTACCAGGTGACTGGCATCTTTGCAGAAGCTCTTAGGCTGGTATTAACTCAAGTTCTTCTACAGAAGAAGGGCTTGACCCTGAATCCTATCACTAGCTTATACTACATAGCTCCATGCAGGTACTATACTTATTATGATGCCTTGGGTCTGGCTTTCCCATGTGGCATATGTCTACCTGATCTTGCACTATCTTCATCTTAAAATTATTTTACTTTCCGAGTTACTGATTTTCTACTTGTATTCGTCTTGTTTGCATTTATGTGATTCCTATACCGACTACCGAGTTCCTACCTCTTTAACTGGATAAATAATGACTGCAACTCTCTGGTTTTCGGTCACCTCTTTTCCAATGAAATTTGAAGTAGGTTTGTTTGAGTTTATACTAATTGAGAAGAATCTTAATACTTTGTAATATTACTCCAAATTTGTGGTGTTTGGCTGGACTTTGTGCTTAGAAAGTTAGAAGACAAAGAGAAGAAAAGCTGTGGTATGCAGTTGATATTCTGCTGTCTTATAAACACTCAGTGGAAAATTATGCTCAGATGCTATGCTGGATTATTAAGTCATTATAGTTTTAACTTGTATCCTTAAATCTGAGCTGCTCACTCACATAACTCTATTCTATTCTATGCATGCAGCTTTGTGTTTCTGTTTGTTCCTTGGTATTTACTGGAGAAACCTGGGATGGAAGTCTCACAGATTCAGTTCAATTTTTGGATTTTCTTTTCCAATGCACTCTGTGCATTAGCCTTGAACTTCTCCATATTCTTAGTGATTGGAAGAACTGGAGCAATCACCGTCAGGGTTGCTGGTGTACTGAAAGACTGGATACTGATTGCCCTTTCAACCGTCATATTTCCTGAGTCTACTATAACTGTCCTGAATATAACTGGTTATGCAATTGGTAAGTATTCTGTACTCCTAATAGCCATCTTTGAGGAATTCTACTATGTCCCTCTTGTTAGCTCATGTTTATTGGTTTTATGTGATTTGATTTCCTCTTGTGCAGCTCTTTGTGGTGTCGTGATGTACAACTACTTAAAGGTTAGGGATGTCCGTGCATCTCAGCTCCCTGAAACTGCTCCTGAAAGAATGTCAAAGGTTTATACTTGCTCTCTGTTCTACATCAATGATTTTCACTAGGGGTGGTTTACTGGCTTAACAAATTAACCATTAGACACCTATGTTAAATGTAACTGAACCGTCCACAAACCAATAATTCTAACGATTCTCCAAAATCTGATTCAAATGTAATGACTGGCATAAACTGTTCATGTCTTTTGGGTGCACTTCGCTGAAATTCGATTATTCCTAATCAGCCTTGGTTGAGTTTCTGCAACCCCTAATTGTCACTAGGGTTTTTACGGGAAAACTCGATTCTACTTGCCAGCTTGTTGATTGATTTTTGTGTGGTCAACAGGACTGGAAGCTGGAGAAATCTTCTGATATATATGTGCCTAATAGCGGAGGTAATGGCAGTGGAGAAGCAAACACATTATCCTTCTCCGATGGGAAGGATGAGGAAGCACAATCTCTAATTACATCCTCAAGATCGTCTCACATTGGACGCTCATTCGCAGACTAGTATTCATACTGGATGAACCGACTCCCTTTTACTCCATCGTCCGAACATTGTTGCGGTCAGTAGTACTATTGCTTGGCCTGGCAGTTTTAGGGAGCATTTTTCAGCACAGATAGGGGTTGTAGCAGCAGTGTGGTTATTCTTCTTTAGATACGTGCGTACTCCTGTTATCGATTGCAAATCTATTGAAAGTTTTTAGCTACTACACTTCTTCTACCCATCCCACACGTTTGTATACCATTACCAACAATGTCAATCAGTTTAAAAAATGAAACCAGAACTTCGTCCAATTACCTAATCGCAATTCATTAATGATTTCAGCCGAGTGTATTTGTGCTTCGTCCAATGAATGGATATGTGAGAACAGAAGAGAATACAACCAAACAATAGCTCGCACAAGAGTACGTAGCATATATGCTTCGAGAACAAACCCAGTAAGAACCTTTAACCAACACAGAAAGAAACAATCAAACTCAGTAAATGCCTTGTCTTGCCTCAGAACACACCTAAAAGTAGCTATATAAGTGGTGTACAGGGAAAAAGAATACAGGACATGACGGATCTCGGATACTTGAACAAATATAGTACACAAACATTCTCCAAACGAAATATGCACATCTCATGCAAAGTAAAACAATCAAGAATGGGGTTGCATAGCGCCAGTAGCAAGCAGGATTCTTCCTTCCGCTCCGAAACTAATCATGATGGTATCCGTGGATGGGAATGTCTGTTCTTCTGTATTTCTCAAAAGGATGAATGAATATACTCTTACAGATTTTGAGAATCCCTTAGATATAAAAGTTTCCTTGCCGGGGCTGGGGGTGCCAGTCCAGGAATGTCTCTGATGTCCTTGTTGTTTGGGTTGACAATCTGGAAAGTCAAAACACAATCAAGAAAAAGAGGCAAGGGCTCTAGGATGTCTCATGTGTGCGGCTAATGCAAAGACTTCAAGAAAGGAAGCAAATATTTTAATCTAGAGGTGCCTCAAAGGCAATAAGACAAGATGTCATTTAAAGTGTTCCAGAACGCAACATTAAGATTTTAAAGCTCCAGACCCTTCAGAAAGCTTGATTTCTTTTGTACCAGCTAAGCTTTTGTGCATATGTAGGTTCAGAGACAGAATTTGTTAACAATAAATATCTTTGTGTTTAAGGTAACAGCCAAAGGACATTTCAAAATTCACTTCGGGAATCAAAAGTACCCCTACGTTCCTAAAGTGCTTGATATCAAGGAAGAGACAGAATTAGGCTGAAGTTCTGAACTACAATCCAAAAGAAATAAAACCTGAAGTTCTAAAGAATAGTCTAGCAAGGACATTCAATATTCAACATTGGAGGTTCAAAATCAAGAAGGGTTACGAACTGTGAAGTAAATTGAGATGAAGTGAAGTACCTTCACAATGATTATTGCTATTACACCACACACAATAAGAACCAGGAAAAGCATAATGCATTTATCGGTTGCCACCTGCAAAGTAATTAGGCCTTTAACTTATGGAAAAACTTGAACAAAACGGTCGAAAAAAGGAAGAGATAAAGTCAATACAAATAAGGCATTGGGAAATCTACATACCTGCCTCCCAATCTCCTTCACCAGCTGCGAGGCCTTCTTAATTGAAAACTGAATTGTGTCCAGCTCGTTAACAATTCGTTCCATTTGCTCAGTCTGGCAAAACAAGCAGGTATAAAGAAAAGTGATTTTGTAAGGACTGGAGGGAAAGATTAAAAAAAAAAAAACAAGGATCAGTGGAGATCATGCTTACTTGGCCTTTTAAAGTAACAGCAGTTTGAGTGCCCACTTCTACTGTTTGTTGAACAACCTAAGTAACAAAACTATGATTAGCAAGGAACTATTACAAGAGACTAGAGAGCAACAAAAAGAGTATTGCTATGGGCTTAAACCTTTTTGGAGCGCTCAATGGCCTGATCAGTCTCATCCATTGTCTTCATCCCAGCATCAACAAGTTCTTGATTTGACATAGCTAGAAGTCATGGATACAAATGGCTAATTTAGGATGTTATCCTAACTAAATAAATATGGGCATAAGTGCAAGAGCCTCATATGTGTTACAGTTTGTATGCTCTAGTAGAACAAAAAATACAGCCTGAAAAGAAATATGAAGTCACCTGATGCCATTCGAGCATTGTCTTCTGGCATCGGTTCACTGGCCCCAGCTCCCGTATCAAACAGTTCAACCCTCTTGTTAGTACTCATGTACCTGCAGTATCCCTCTCCTCGTATCAGAGTCCAAAAACTCGAAACCGCCATACAAGGGGTAAAACAAGCATGGAAGCTAAGGGCTTACGTTTTCCTCAAGGCCACATAGGAATTCAGCTCTTTAACCTACAACAGTGGCAAATGGTGAAGTCCCATTCTAGGGCTGCTAAGCCCAGAAGTTAACAAACACAGTGCGGAACATATTGACCGAGTTATGAAGAAAAGGAAGACTTGGAAACACAGACCATGGATTGTTTTTCGTCATTAAGTTGCTTAGTGACCTCAGGTGGATTTCTGGTTGCCTCATCTTTGATTTCACTTTCAAACTCCTTAATCAATCTGCAGATAGCATTGTTGTGGGAAGGAGTGAGCGAAGTTTAAAATGACACAAACACACAAGACAAGTGTTTGATACTACATGCTATACCTTTTGCACTCTCTCATCCTGCCTGTAAGCTCCTCGAGCTGTTTACTCTGTCGATTAGAATCTTTAATCTTATCAAGCCTCTGGAACCCATTTCTGCGAATTCGAAATCGTATAAAATCAAGGACAAGCGAGCAAACAGTTATGGGCAATACGACCCATCAAGGGGAACATCAATTAGAACAACGCAATACAGATAAATGCAGTAGAAAGGAGCGGAGAGATGGCATCTGCGAGCCCCAAAAGAGGGAAACAAAAAAAAACATCAAATTGATCCTAGGATAAGCTGCAGCAGAAGCGGCAGGAAACGAGAGAGAAGACATACGAGAGAGCTCGGAAATTGTCGTTGATCTCGCCGTGGATCTGCTCCATTTGAGAAGTCATCGGCAAGTTGGTGGCCATTTTTTGGTGTGGGGGAAAAAGTCGGAGTGGCGGAGAGAGAACTATAGCACACAGCGCCTTGGGATTTCAGATGGGCGTCGCTGCTGCTAACGGCCGCTGGCGCGGGATGGTGGCGGCGTTTCAGAAGGGGGGATTCAGTGAATTGAGTTGTTGGTGGAGGAGGCAGATCAGATGAAGATGCAGAACAGAAAGATGCGCGATGCAGCAGTGATCTCCGTCTTCGGCCGTCCGAAATACAAACAAACACACCGCAGGAAACTAATCAGTAAGCAACCATTCTGCTGCTGCAGCTGTTTTCTGGGGCTCTCTGACTTAATCTCTGTAACATCATGGTTCAAAATATGTGCTCTGTGGGGTTGTGGGGCAGAAATGGAATGGATGATGCGCTGTAAACAGAACAGATCGCTTCCACGGAGTCGTCTTCCTTCTTTCTTTTCCTCTTCCTCGTTTCTTCCTTTTGGTAAATGCCACATTTGATTACTGAAATTACTAAATTATATCATATTTAGTCACTAGAAAAAAGTAATATTAATTTTGGTCACTCAAATTGTAGAAATAGTTCATATTTAGTCACTCTCCGTTAATCTCCATTCGAATTCGTTAACAGAGTTAGTTATGTGCTGACATGACTAACGGGAGCGCCTAATCAACATCATTTCAGGACGAAAATGGTCAAACCCGACCTGCCACGTCACTAGACCTACCATGTCCCCACCCAACCCAACCCAACCCATTAACCCAACTGGACCCAGAACCAAACTCGAGCCCACTTAACAAAACAAAATTGGAAAACAGATCGGGTTAGTGACAATTTTCAGATCCGAAACCCTTTCTCCTTCCTCACGAAAACAAATCGAAAAACAGGTCGCGTTGTTGTTCTTCTTCTTCTTCGTTGCGCGCCGGCGTCAGTTTCCCCTATCGCAGCAAACAACGAAACCCTCTGATCCTCCTTCGAAATTAGACGCCAATCCCACCGTTCGTCGCAATGAGACAATAATTTCCAATCACAAACCCTAATGCAAATCAATTCAAACCCACCTGGATATAGCAATCTCAATTCCCAACCCCGTCCAAGAAATGGGAGACTTACTGCCGATGAGAAGCGGCACGGAAGCAACACGACCGAGTGTTAAAATGGTGGGCAACGTGAGAAATTTCGACGAGCATTCCTCCTGCTTCCGATGATCGGGCGACAGCCAAGAAGACGGTCGATCTAATCTGTTCACATCGTCGCCATCAGGGTACCACTCGACGACGTCCACGGTGGCCTTGTTAACAGATCTCATATCTTCCTTGATCCCACCACCGGACCCAGAAGGCGACGACGAGGAAGAATCGGATCCAGCAGAGAACCCGACATCCCTGCGAGCGAACGACGGCAAGCCACAATTTCGGAGGGAGGAAGATGAGAAAGGAGAGCGCTCGCTTCCGCTAGGAGAAGGAAGCCCTAATAACAAACTGCCGCCTATCTCGGAAGGCTAAGCGTTTTTCCCATTGTGCCTGGATGAAATCGCGGAAATTCAAGAGTGCAGGCGGCCGCGGAAGGGGACGACGGTTTTGCCTGTTTTCCGATCTGATTTCGCGAGGAAGGAGAAAGGGTTTCGGGTATGAAAATGACCACTAACCCGATCTGTTTTCCAATTTTGTTTTGTTAAGTGGGCTCGAGTTTGGTTCTGGGTCCAGTTGGGTTAATGGGTTGGGTTGGTGTATGACATGGCAAGTTTAGTGGCGTTGTGGGTCGGGTTTGACAATTGTCGACCCAAAACGATGCTGACTATGCGCTCCCGTTAGCCATGTCAGCACGTAACGGACTTTGTTAATGGATTTGGACGGAGACTAACGGATAGTGACTAAATGTGACCTGTTTTTGTAATTCGAGTGAACAAAATTGATATTAGTTTTTTCTAGTTACTAAACGTGACACGATTTAATAATCGCAGTGACCAAATGTGGTATTTACCCTTTCTTTTGGTTTTCAATTTTTTAGGAATTTCCGCTTTCACTTTTTCTGTTGCAGCGTGTGGACTGTGGAGCCGTGAAGGGCCAGGTTGGGCTTTGGCAGTCTTGGCATCCTGGGGGAATTATGGCTTGGGGTTATTCAGTTGAGCCCAACCCATAATGGAGAATGTGTGCAAAGGTTATTTTTTTTAGGTAATGTATATTTTTTTATCCAAACCCTTTATATGCTATTAATTAGCCAAATCTTTCGTAATGTATCATAATATTAGTCATTTTTATGTTATTGTTAATAATTTTGTAACTCTTTTCGTAATTAAATTACTAAAATTTTGGAATGTTGACCTTCATGTGTCTCTTCAAAGTCAGTATCATGTTGCCAAGTGAATATTACTAACAAAATTGCTAACTAGAAGTTAACATTTGGCCAATTTTTAGTATTTTGATAGGTTTTGCTAATAAAAAAATCTTAAAAAGGTTTGGCTAATAAATAGTCATTACCCTTTTTTCTCGATAATTCAAAGTTCAAACTTCAAAGGTTAGCATTTTCCTAAATATTCGCTAGATAGTTTTTATAATTATTAATCAGAAAATTTAAGCTAATAATTAAATCATTTTTTACTGGGAAAATCAGAATTAGATGTGTGTAAAGGTTATTTTTTAGGTAATGTCTATTTTTTATCCAAACCTTTTTCAGATTATTTATATTATCCAAACCTGTTAAATGCTATTAATTAGCCAAACCTTAGTAATGTATCATAATATTAGTCATTTTTATGTTATCGTTAATAATTTTGTAACTCTTTTCATAGTTAAATTACTAAACTTTTGGAATGTTGACCTTCATGTGCCTCTTCCAAGTCAGTATCATGTTGCCAAGTGAATATTACTAACAAAATTGCTAACTGAAAGTTAACATTTGACTAATTCTTTGAATTTTGATAGGTTTGGCTAATAAAAAAGAATCTGAAAAAGGTTTGGCTAATAAATAGTCATTACCCTTTTTTTCTCGATAGTTCAAACTTCAAAGGTTAGCATTTTCCTAGATATTTGCCAGATAATTTAAGCTAATAATTAAACCATTTTTTATTGGGAAAATCAGAATTAGAGTAATTTTGATTTGTTAGTGTTTTATGGTATTAATTTATTTGTAAGTTTTTTAGAACATGTGTCTTATCACCGAGGAACAACCCCACGTACACACTATATTTTGTGATGGCAGAGCGAGACCAAACTTGGGGGCCACCTACTGTAATTTTATGTGCCAACATGGCTTCATCGCGAGCAGCCACTAGACGAACACCACTCGGGGCATCGAACCCAGTACCTCACACATCCCGGGACGACCTACCCAAGGCGGCACCACTAGACTACAAGGATCATCGTTGTCGTTGGGGGATTGAACTCAGGACCTTGTTGGAGACGCTCCACCAGTTATGCTAGCCTTGTTTCGCGTTTTAGAACATAATTACACATATTGTGTTTAAACTAGATAAGTGCGCATAAGCACGCATACAGAGAAAAACATATAAGGTTTAGCTCAACTTGTGTGGCAACACGCATACTGAGAGTTCGCGCGGCGGCGCACATTCTAAGCGAAACAATATAAAGTTTAGGTAATCTCATGTTGCCACGCGCATATCGCACAAAACATTATATAGTTCAGCCCATCTCACTCTGCCACACGAGTATATAAAGTGAAAACTTTAAAAAGTTAGTTCAACATGTGTACCGTCGCTCATGCTAAACGAAACTATAAAAAGTTTAGCTCAGTATATGCACGTGTCCATGCTAATTGAGCTATAATTCTCTTCTTTGTTTCTTTCGAGAAGCGAACAATCATCTTCCCATGCCTTCTATTTGTTTTTCTTCTTCCTCAATCTCTCTGCCAAACCCTCCTCTTCCCCATTCTCTTTTCCGGCCAAATTCATTTCTCCGGTGACATGCAAGTTTAACTCAGCTCGCACGAACACACACAAATTGAGCGAACTTTCGAAAGTTTAACTCAACTCATGCGATTGCGCGCACTGAGTTTAACTTCGACAAGTTTCGCTCATCTTGCAAGGTCATGCGCATCTCATCTCCACAACACAATATTAGTGTAGATATATGTTTTAGAACATCATATTCATGGCAATTTCAAAAACAATTACCATATTTTGCAATTCTCCCACTTCCTACAAATAATATATGGAGTTTCTCATTAAGAACCCATCCAATTCAATTTTTCCAGGCCTATACACACAGTACGGAAGGGTACCAGGTCTTTTACTCACTCGACTATTTCTCTACTATTATTACTTTTCTTTTTTTAAAAGGCAATAAATGCTAATTAAAATTCATGCTCCAATGGTTGACACAATAAGAAAAAATAGCCGAAGCTCTAATTCTTATGGCATCATAATTCCGATTTATTCCCTGTATCAATCACTCTACATTAGCAATGGCAATCGAAAGCATCGTAATTCTGATTTATTCCCTACATCAATCACTCTCACCAATACATTTGTTTTTTTTAATAATTAGAGTACATTTATATATAATGTAGACAAACCAAGACGAGAATTGTGGATATCATAATGGATTAGATTGATAAGAATACTCATGTCCGTCTCATATAGCTTAGAGGGTAGGTATTACCAACTTCAAAGCAAGTCAAATAGATCGGGTAAAATGGGCTACATCAAAATTGCCAGCCTTAACCGACATCATTTTAAATATACAAACACCATAGTTCTTTTCTTAATTATGAATGTGTTTACAACATTTAGTTCTTAGAAGTGAAGGCTTGAACAAATTCTTGGTGGACTCATGATGAATAGCCCCTAATAAATTGTTCTCTATAAAGATAATTTACTATAAAATATAATTACAACAAAACATGCCTAGGGATAAATTTTCAAATACAACCGGTCAGTACCCAAAAGGGCCAAGACCCGGGAGCCCAACCAAGCAATCTAATCTCCAAACTCTACATGATGATGTTCCCCCATGACTTCCACTACCGTTGGATCAACAAGCGACATCACCTCCACCAAAAGAGCCAAACACGATGGAAAATGAGGCGTTGGAACACCCAATCCGGACCGAGGGAGGCAGAGACACCCACAACCACCTCCGACCAACCTTCGCTAGACCAAACAACATCTACCCGACGAACAGAGCACCGAAAGAAAACAACGTGTTGAACGGACGATCGGTGACGGTGCCATGTGAATGATCTTCTGTCTCCAAAATCTTCAAGTTGAGTCCAATGATTTAGCCACTAAATATGGTTTTATCTCAATTATTATTAAGATTGTGCACATTAATTTCACGTAAGACATGTAACTTCTTTAGTTGTAAGAGTTATATTGTAGGAAAATAATTGTTGTACTGATTGTTGTTATTATAACCTAATTAGAATTGGTTACACGGGTTTATGCAAGGTAGTAAAGGGAGTACAAAAAGACGCACAATTATAAAGTGAATGGCAGGCAATGTTGCAAAGGTGGAAGGGGTTTAGGCATATGTAATTATACTTTTCAATTGAATAGTGAGTCCCAATCTAACTTTACATTGTGAAGAATTTTTTTGAATATATTTTATTTTTATAGTTTTAAAGTATGAAGGATTAAGATTTTTTGGAGTTGTATGATGCTGAGAAACTATTTCAAAATAGTGGCAAGAGGATATGCTCCTTCCCTTCTCCAACTTTTTTTTTACTAAAGATAATCATACATATTGATTGAAGAAATAGATCATTACAGCCATGACTGTAACCAGGCGATAAAATCAAAGAAATGACATGAAGACGGGAACAAAGACAGGGCCTTCCTAGCCACCCTATGGGCTACCCTATTACTACTTCGTCCGACAAATCGTACATTAAGCCCATTATGGGGCGTCAAACATCGAACAACCTCCTCAAGAATGGTCCCATCCGACTATCTCGAGTATCCCTCTGATTGACTTTATCAATGATCACCTTCGCATCCCCCTCCAAATATGCCTCCCTAAAGCCATACTCTAAACACTAGAGAATTGCTTCTCGGAGAACCAAGAGCTCGACCACGATGGGATCGTCAACATACTTGAAATGCACACCTTTCGCCAGTAGATCTGCCCAACTTGATTTTTGATAATTAAGCCCCCAGCCGAATGCGAACCACGCTTAGTCGACCCATCCCACATACAAATGACTGTGGAAGGATGTATCCCGCCAGAAATAATCGGGTGATGGGGAACGGGGGGATTTATTACACAATCAACCGGCAAGGTAGTCCACTCTTGGTACTGCTGATGGAACTGCCGCATGAGAGCCAGGATCCCAAATTGCTTTCCCTCAAAGACTACCCAATTACGGGATCGCCAGATTCTCCAAAGGATGGCAACAACCGACACGAACAATTGCGAGTGATGAATAAGCAACATTAACTTCTTGAGGAAGAGCAAGAAAGTATGACAAGTAAAACCTTTCCCGAGATACTCAAGACCCGAATAATCCCACAAAGCCCTAGATACTGGTTACTCCAGGAACAAATATTCCATGGTTTCAGATGCAGCCTAGCACACTGGGCAACGGGGGTGCACTGCCAGCCGTTTCTCAATTATGGCTTCAGTTGTCGGAAGGATGCGGTGAAACACCTACCACATAAACACCTTCAACTTGGGAGGAATACGGGCCTCCCATAAGTATATCCAGCTCGTCCTATCCATCTAACTAGCCATGGACCGCCAACGACCTGTCTGCCTATCTAGCATAACAGCAAGGTGATATGCAGACTTGACAGAGAAGATCTCGTCCACCGTGTTATGCCAAATCAGCCTATCCTCCACATCCTATTGGGGCAGAGGTATAGTCTTAATGGCTTGACAGGTTGTCGGGTCAAATCACTGACCAAGCTTAATATCACACCACCGAACTTCCCTTTGGTATATTACCTCAACAACTTTGGGACCTCTAACTTCAGATAATACCCGAGGGTTAAAACGTGGAGGGCTGGGGTGCAACTGAGGAACCCAATTAGACTCTAGCAGAGGGGCCGACCGACCGTTTCCCAATTTGCCAACGTAGCCCCCTGTACCAAGAGCTATCTACCAAAGAGGATACTCTGCCACCCTCAAGATGAGTGAGACCTAGCAGTAGCCGTGATGAAAGAGCCATTGCAAAAATACTTCCCTTTATACACCTGGGCTAAGATCGAATTGGGATCATTGAGGATTCGCCAACCAATTTTGGCCAAGAGTGCCTAGTTAAAATGCTCAAACCGACGCAATTCCATACCCCATCATATTTGCTCCGACACATATTCCGCCAGGAAATCCAGCGTATCCAGGAATGGCCATCCTCCACCCCCACCAGAATATGGCAACATGCCTGTCAAAGAGGTGACAGCGGGATAGTGGAAGTTTGAAACAAGACATGACATGCAATGATAGAGCCAAAGCAACCGACTTAATCAACGTCTCCTTCACTGCCCAAGATAGCATTTGTTGCTTCCAACCCTGGAGTCGCGCCAAAAGTTTCTCCTCCAAGAAGCGGAAAGTAGCTAACTTAGAATGGGCGATTAATGAGGCCATCCCCAGGTATTTGTCCTGGATCCCTTCAGCGCCAACACCCAAAATCTGGGCAACAAAAGCCTGATCCAGTAGAGTTATGTTCTTACTGAAGCACACTGCCGACTTAGCCAAATTCACCCATTGACCACTGAGTTCCTCATACTCATTCAAAACCTCAATAAGGTTTTCACATTCCTGCAAAGAACCTCTGACAAGTAAGAGTCATCAGCAAATAATAGATGCAAAATTCGTGGCGCTCGGGGGAGCACTTTAACCCCTGGCAACCCCCCCCCCCCCCCCCCCCCGGTATTGGCCTGCGCAGGAGGGATGCAAACCCCTCCATCATACAGAGAACTAACAGGAGAGGTGAAAGATGGTCTCCCTGACAGAGTCTAGGCGAAGGCGTGAAGTATCCTGACGGTGTGCCATTCATAAGAACCAAGAACAATGCAACCGGAGGCGTTCGTGAATCCAGTTTCTCCAAGTTGAGTTGAAGCCTAATTTGTCCAAGACTGCAAGTAGAAATGACCATTCAACTCTGTCATAGGCATTTTCCATGTCAACCTTTAGAGCCATAAACCCTTTCTTTCCTTTAGTCTTGATCTTCAAAAAATGCATCAACTCATTCTCTAAAAGGACATTTTCCATAATTTGCCGTTCACGAATGAAAGCATTCTGTCATTCCGAAATGATTTGCTGGAGGAACACAGCTAGTCGCTCAGACATGATTTTAGTAATGATTTTATAGACAAATTGGCATAAGCTAATCGGTCTATGCTGCCTCATATTTTCCACACTATCCACCTTTGGGATAAGAGTCAACCAAGTATGATTAAAACTATGGAGCAGGCGACTCGTGTTAAAGAAATAACACACTGCGTCCGTGACGGGTCCACCAACAATATCCCAGAAAGCCTTGAAGAATTTCCCAGCGAATCCATCCGACCTTGGGGCTTGTTTAGATCCCATAGAGAAGACCGTGATATGAACTTCACAAGGAAGTACTTCACTTGTAAGGGAAGCATTCATCTCGGCAGTAACTCTTCGATCTATTGGAAGTTCAGCGACCCTTGTGCCCATGTTCAAAACATGATTTTCAGAGGTAAATAAAGTTTGATAAAAATCAATGGCAATATCAGCCTTCCCTTTCTCCTCAGTGACCCATTCTCCACTATCATGACGAAGCCCCGCCACAATGTTTCGTTTGCAACGAGTCTTCGTCGGAGTGTGAAAGTACGAGGTATTCTTATCACCCTTCTTAAGACATTGAACTCTTGACTTCTGTTGCCAATAAATTTCCTCAGCCTCTCATTGCTTGTTCAGTTCAGTCTCGAGAACCCACACCTCATCCCAATTGATTGGGTATACAGACTTAAGTTGTTCAATTTCCAATTGGAGGGTCTTGATATTTCGGTGAGAATTAGTAGTTCACGCCCGACTCCAATCATGTAGTAAGTGACAGAGCTTCTTCATTCTCTCCCAAAGTTGAAACATAGGAGATCCATGAATTTCCTCTTGCCAAACGTAAATTCACCATCACCCTAACCTCAAGATTATCCACCCATCGAGCATCAAACCTAAAGAGGGGGCGGCTATTCCTAGCATATGGTTTATCATAAAGAAGCAACGCTTGATGATTTTAACCCTGATTAGTGAAATGCTTGACTAAAGTATCCGGGTATTGGTCAATCCAACTCTGGGAACAAAGGGCCATATCCAGTCATTCACAGAAACATGCAACACCCATTCTCTTATTAGTCCAGGTGAATTGATCACCCTGATACCTAGGATCGTGGAGGCCTAAGTCATGAATGAAATTATGAAGATCAATCAACTAGCCGCATTCCATGGATTTCCACCATCCTTTTCATTGGCAGAAAGGGTCGCATTGAAGTCCCCGATTACCACAAAAGGAAATTGAATGACATCACAAATATGATGAAGTTGAGCCAATTGGGTGGCTCTTATTGAAACCGAACAACTGATATAAACACAAACCAACACATAAGAAAAAATCACCTTCATTAATCCGAACACAAATGACGAAATTGGAATGAAAAACACGAAGCATCAACTCCGGGGGACCAAGCTACAACTAACCCTCCCGATGCATTAATAGAATCAACAAAAAAAAAAATGAGAAATATCAAATCTCAAACCTCGCATTAAACGAGAGACTACTCGCCGGCTAGATCTTGTTTTCGAAAAGAAGACAAGCTCCGGATTATGCGCATGCACCAAACCTACAACTGTTTGGAATGTAAGTGATGTTCCGATTCCCCTCGCATTCCATGAAACAAGCCTCATTTATCCCGACAGGGCCACTCTAGGCTGGCTTCCTTCACCTTATCTTCATCGATCTTTTCTTCAACAAATTGCTTCTTTGGTGTGGGCACCTCTATCTCGGCCCCATCAATCTCGTGCAGTGGTCGTTTCCTACCACCAATCCCAAGCTCGAGTATGTTAGAACCATACTCATCCAACTTCACCACCATGTTAGTCTCTTGATGACCACCACCACACCGTTTGTCGCAAGCATCTTGGTTAATTATCATTTCGGCTTCAAAAGCCTTAACCATCTGACGAACCTTTCATGTGTGGAATTTTTGAGCAGCGCCTCTCCAAGCCTTGATCGCACACCTTTTTAATTGAAATACATGTGTTTCTTCCTCCGAAATAGTATCATCAGAATTCGCCACATTTTGGACATCGCGACAAAGATCAGGCGTTGTCAACGCAGGGGGCGAGAGTCTATCCTCCAAATCCTCCGGGGGATTCGCATCCTCGAAGGCCAAGTCAGGATCCACCTCAGGGCTCGCCTTCAATATAACAAAATCTGGTTGATAATCATCAACCTTGGCCTTCCCCAACTTAATCGCAACACGCCGCCCAACATATTTACTCGCATCTAGCTTCTTTGGAGGCTCATTAAACCCCTTCTTGTAGCATCGTTGTTTAGGAGCCGCGACAGGGCTAGCTACACCGTGGGAGAGCGCTCCCCCTGCTGGAAATCTTTCTTCCTCAAAGGACCCCTTAGAGTAGACTTCAAGATGTTTTTAGTTGGTGGACTGACCGTGTCTTCAATATTTTCAGTATTAACAAGGTCCATTACATGCATGGAACGCATGGGTCCACCCAAAAAGGCTCGTCCTCCGAATCTTCAACCAGAACCAAACGTCACGACGCTTCTGCTCGAGGGAGACGCTAATAGGAGAATTCAAGTTGCCAGAATCTTGCTCCCCATGGCTATCCCCAAAACCTTGGTTCCTATCAACACCACCAGGCAGCTCCATTTCATTTTTCCCAACAACCGGAATCTGCCGATTCCCACGAAGAGCTCCAGCATTCTTGGAGCTTGCTTCCCATTCCTTTAGTCCAGAAGCTGGACGCACATGGTGTGGGGGGGGGGGGGGGAGATTTTCACCTTGGGCGACTTGGAGACAAGTAAGCCACGAGGGCTCCTCCCCCTAGGATTATGCATTTTTGAGCTAGTTGAGGAGGGAGATTGACGACCCACCAGGAAGTCACGGTGATTTACGCATGGATGAACAGGAAGAACATCCAAAGAGGAATTCACCCCACTTCTTGTCTCCCCCTTTGCTCCTTTGGATCACGAGCCTCTCAAAAAATTTGGTTGATCCACACCGATCTAGGTGGACCATTGAATTGTTGGTGGTCATCCTCCTCTTCAAGACTCGTGTCCCCAGCTTTTTTGTAGACATGTGGGGCGCGAAACATTCCTTACGGGAAGGAGGATCAAACGCAAACGCACGCCCGGAGTGCCCACCCTTCCACAGTGAAAACAGAAGCTAGGCAAGTGTTCATATTTTAGGCTAACCTAGAAACAACCTGTATCATCACTTATCGCCATCAGTTGAGATCCGAGCGGCTTAGTAAAGTCGATAAGGGCCCTGACCTTCATAAAATAGCGACACGTGTCCTGGCAACTGTACACACCAGCTTCTAGAACCTTCTCAATAGTGGCATTCACCACTTTCCGCCCAAATTGCTTTGTACAACAGTCTTCCTTCACATTCCAGAGTTGTACCCGGAATGGTGTTATAGCGAGATCCTCGAACGTACGGACAAGAGATCACGCACACAGATGCAAGATCTTGTTTGTGATCACCCAGCGAGTTCGCTTCAAGACCCAGCCTCGCAACTCCTCAATTGGAAGCACAAACTCAAATAGTCCATGCTTCGTTATAAATACTTTGATTCGGCCTTTTCCTTGCCATGGCACATTCAACGAATCCCTTAGCTCCATCGGCGTGACATGATTATTGGTGAATAAGCGGCGAGGAGGGTATGGGTACGACGAAATTTAGTTGATTGAACTTGCTCAAGTGAGAATTGTACAACCTGGTCTTCCGTCATATGTGCCATCGTGATTTCCTGCAAGGGATTAGGGTCACAAGAAGAATTAAGGATCCGCTCGCAGTCTTTGTTTGCTAATAAGCTGGCTACTGCCGATGGCTTCCCAGAAACCCAACGAAAGACGTGGGAGCCTCGCAAAGAAGGGAAAGCAGACAGGGAAGCACAAAGGTTAATTGAGGTAATTGAGTGAAAATCACATGAATGAGAGAGTAGAAAATTGCAAATCTCATAAGTGAATTCATATGGCAACGATGAAAATGGAATCGACAATGGAGATAATTATGTTATTAATGGTTGAGACAATAATGTTGTTGATGACCGGCTAATGGCAAAGTAGCCAAAAGAAATCGCTTTAATGTGTGACAACGCGTAGTGAAGTTTAACTTGATTAGTTTTTTCAGAATTCAAATTCCTTGCTTTAGTCTTGGTTTTGATTTCAATAAGAACTTTCATAGATGACTAAATCTGGAAAATTATATAATGTCAATTTTTCATTTTTCAAGTAATTGAATAATTCGGATTTTTTATGGTCCCAAATAAAAAAATATTTTCCATTGTACAATTGATATATTTTATTCACGTTATTCACGTAAACATGAAAAGAAAGAATTTTTGTAAAAAAATAAGAGAAAATTGGCATCATCACAAACAATAATAAAATATAAATTCAAAACTTTGATAATTATCATTATCAAATTTCAATGCGACAAGGGGACACCTGACATTAAAGCATGGTAAAGGAAACCGTACCAGAAGTCATACCGGATCAGCCAGTGGTAGGGTATTTTGTGGTACTACCGTGGTTCAATCGTTGTGTACTGGTAAAATACCTGTTTTGTAATTAAATAATATTTTTTTGTTAAAAAACTGTATCGACAGATTCGGGATATCGTTTCGGAATAATACCAGAATATACCGGATAACAAACCTGAATAAACTAAATAAGCATATTTAATATAAAAATCAACAAACTGCAACATTACTAAATTAACTACATAATCGTTCAAATGCATGTTTGCGATCGAGTACAAAACAACCAAACAACATTCTTAAACCACAAGTTCAAACAACATTCTCAAACCAAACAACATTCTCAAACCACAAGTTCACAACTACCACAAACACAAACTAGCAAGCACTACAATGTTAACAAACAACGTTTCATATCGTCAAACAACACCAAATGCAGAAACTGGTGCATTAAACTTGGACTATTTGATATCATAATTGTATAAAGCAGCATTGGGGAATTGCTTTGAGTTAGACGAATGGGGTCCAATTGAGTTATGCATAATGTCTAAACAATTCGATCGCCAGGGGAAATCACCATATGCATATTATGCTGTAAGTCATACTCTGACTCTCTTTACCCTTCTGTATTTCTGCGATAATGGATCGCCAGAATCTTACTTATGTCCTATGTCCCGCGTTCTTGAACAGTCAGCAGTGGAGGAGCGGAGGCCGGAGATGAGCAACAGAGCGGCGGAGAGGAGCGGCGTAGAGGAACAGCGGAGGCCGGAGAGGAGCAGATCAGGTCGGCGGTCGGTGGAGCGGAGCAAAGCAGGGACCGCGGAGCGTCGCCTTGCCGCCGGTCGCTGGTCAAGGGCTTGGCGGTTCCTGGTCGCCGGTCGCCAGATGAGAAATGGAGAAGAGGAGCGTCGGATTGAACTGAAGAAGAAGAGGAGAACTGCTGGAGAACTGGGAAGAAGAAACGAACGCGGCGACTGTCTTTCTTTCGATTGATTAGGGTTTTGACAATTTGACTTCGTTTTTTTTTGTGCTAATACCGTAATACGACGACGTTTTCTTTCAATTACCCTGCCCCCGATTAGACCAAAACCGGGCGGTATTTCGGATTAAACCGTTTAAACCGCCCGGCGCGATATTCTGCCCCCAAACACGCTACCGTTTCGTCCGTGCTCCGGTTTTCGGTTTTACTGATTCAACCGGCCGGTACGATCCGATTTCCTTTACCATGCATTAAAGTAAGACTAGACAAATTTTGCAATAATTTTAATGCAAAATAGTTAAATAAAGTGTGGTTATAGACTATTATGACTGCGAGGCGCGAGCTGAGTCGAGATGTCTGGTGTCATTGGATGGAGTCGACTCCTGACGAGTCTCAGCTGGAGGAAATTGATATCAGACTGGAGAGCTCATTTTACGTTGGTCCCATCTGTGAGCTATGGTCTCCTCCAGCGAGTTTCTTCACCTTGAAGAATTTAAAAGTTCTGAAGCTTAACGAAATCATGACAGGCATAATGCCGGCTTCTATTTTTCTTTCTAGTCTGAAAATCCTACATCTTTTGAAGCTAAGGACTCGGGACTTCGAGTTATTAAGCAGACTCATTTCTGGTGGCCCTGTTCTGGAGACTCTTTATTTGGAGAATTGCTTTTTGCAAGATGTGGGATGGCGATCAAGTACTCATTGCTTCCATACCATCCTTGAAGAACTTGACGATTAGAAACAATGATGGAAGGCTGCATTGTTCCATTGAAATGGAAGCACCAAATCTTGAGCATCTTTATCTTCTGAATTTTGGGGAGTTACAGTTTATGGGTAGTAGTAGTTCATTGTCATGCGTTCACTCGGCACTGGCATGGGTTGATACTCCTGTTTATGAGGAAACCTGGGTTGATTTTGATGATCAGTATGGAAGACCGCCTTGACGGGATTTGCATAATAAATAAAATTATTATATTTTGACGGGATGAAGAAGAAAATATGATTTGCATAATTATAATAATTTTTTATTTTATTTATTTATTTTATTGTAAAAATGAGTTGAACATTAAAATAAAATAAAATAAATTTTATTTATTATTTCATAATTGCCATGTCACTAAGTTAACGGTCAACTTTGAGAGTTGACTGCCACATCAGCCAAAGTTACAGAGTTGGACGGAGAGTGACCAAACGTGAACGGTTTCAATAAACTGAAGTACCACCAATGGATTTAAATATTTGGAGTGATCAAACTTGAACGTTTTTTTGTAATCTCAGTGACCAACCATGCAATTAACCCTATAATTTTCGTAGGATTTAACTTCTTTGCATCATTGCATATGTTAAAATGTTGAAAAAATTCTTATGACATAGGTTATTGTTAAATTTTTTTAATAGAATAATTTATATTCTATAAGTTACCAACAAAGAGGTATTATTAATTCATACAATTGCTATTGTTGTTTTAACAATTGTGAAATGTATCCGGCCAACAGGCGAGTTTCAATCTAGTTTAAGTCTATATCAGTTATACCGATTAATTGAAACACAAATTAGGCTTTACACACGCTTGATGTTATAAAAATAGAATTTAAAAAATGGCAAAATTCATCTGTGTAGCCAAAACTTTGACATTTGTGACAATAATATCCATTTTTGATGAAATACCAAATATAGCCAACATTTTGAAAGTTTGACGACAAATATAGCCATTTCCGTTACAAACTTTAATGGTGTTAAGAACTCCTCCAAATAGGTTAACATTAAGCTGACTAGTATGCCAAATCATCGCACACATCAGCGACAACTCAGATGTTAGTGACACGTAGATGCCACGTGTTATTTTAATTTAAAATTAAAGAAATAAAATAATAAAAGAAATATAAATAATTATTTTTAGTTATTTTTTGGTCCCAATATCTTTCCTTTCCTTTCGCGTCTCTCTACACAGATTTGTAAATTCCCAAAACCAATTAATTATTTGTTTTCCACCCCCATATCTTTCCTTTCCTTTCGTCTCTCAACACAAATCTGTAACATTCCCAAACCAAACAAAAATCCAATTGAGATATTAATCTCCACCCATGAATCCCACTCTCCTCGTTATCGCCTGTCGAAGCTCTAAGCTCCGTAAAGTAGAGGAAGATGGCGGCCAGGCGGAGATAGATGGTGAGCAGCCTAGCGGGGACAGATCGACGGCGCCCAGATGCAGGCGGAGACAGATCGACGACACCCGAAACAGCCATGACGAGCGGAGATCTGGGTGCGACGACAGAGGGGCAAACCGATGGTGGTCGGCAATGGAAGACGATGATGAACAGTGCAGCGGGGGGAGTTTGATTTGGCCGAGTACCCAAGCAGAGATCCACAAGCTTTTCACCTTTCGATCTACTCCCGCTGGGTAGCCTTCCATCCAGACCACCGCCATTACTCTCTCTCTGACAGGGTAGGCCTTTCAACTAGAACAACCTAGAGTACTGAGGAAGGGGAGAGAATGGAAGAGAGCTTAAGAAAGGAGGAGATTTTTTCTCTAATTTTTCTATGGGAACACGAAGGGGAAGAATAAGAGAATAGAGATTATCAAAAGACTCTTTTTTAATTTTTAATTTTTTTAGTTTATCCACATAGATTTGTTACCAAATGGAGAGTGTCCAGGTCATCCTTCCGTTAGTCTAGCTCAGTCTGTTATTTGACACCGTCAAAGAATTGGACGGAAGTGGCTATTTTTGGCATTTCGTCAAAAGTGGTTATATTTGGTAAAATCGTCAAAGTTTTGACTACACAAGTGTATTTTGCCAAATTATCGTATTGATTAGTTTTTTCAATTTTAATTTGGGACTCCCATATGGCCATATCACATGCTCGAATTCTAGTAATAAAAGTTAAATGCCTTTGCGAAATTGGCTAGGGAATGAAATTTTGTTGTCATTGTGGCTGTTTTCTGCTTGAGCCACCACCGCTGTCTGTCGCACTAGCGGACGTTTGAAGTTCCTTGCTAGAACAATTGTAGAGCGAGAAACCTGCTTGTGCAATTGGCCTTCCCTAACAAGACCATCAAGAGCACCCTCCCAAAGCCAACTTCACCATCGTCATTGTCTGCAGAAAATGACTGTTGTACTTGGTGGCCATATGAGCACATGTGTAAGAAACCTAATGATCTAGGCGCCTTGCGTCTAGGGTTTTTGAATCAAGGGTTGAGCAAAGGGAAGGTTGCAAATGGATTGAGGTAGGGGAAGAGAATGGGACGAGAATTTGGGGGAAAGAAGAAAGAGGGGTTGGCGGCCTAGGGTGGCCGACGAGGAGAAGGGAAGTTGGGGAAGAAGGGTTCTGTCGAGTGAGGGAGGAGAGGGAAGAAGATTAGTGTTTGGGGAATTCTTATTATTATTTGCTTAATGAGCAATTACCCACTAATTACAAATATATAACCCGAATAATTCCCGTTAACTACCCCAACTACTTAACTTAACCCAATTAATCCGAATAATCCTCAAATGCACCCAAAACCCCCCCAAATAATGTCCAATCGTCCCCAAGCATAAATAAAACGACAAATAAGTCCGAATACCGAAATAACCCAATAATTGGGTTTCTAACAACATGGCAAGCACATACACTGAATTCACTAGCAAGTTAAGGATACAGAAACAACTGATTCCACGTAAGAAACACATGGCCATTTCCAATCTCGCTTGCACGGTATGAATAATGCACCATAGCAACAGTCTATAGACAGTTGTAGAAACAGGTTCTATACATGTATAATTTGTGATTTATCCATCCCGTATATGAATCAATGTAGTGACAAATATATACGACTTCATCACGGACGGTTGAATGCAAAAAGTGGCAACCACACTACAGAAACCGCCCACAAATTCAGAGCTATGCTGCCAGAGAAGCAATGCAATTCATGCTCTTCATCATTTCCTTCTCCATCCATTAAACCGAGCACTCTGCTGCTGTCATTGCTGCAGTCCGCGTTCAACGGAGGCCTGCAAAGTTGTTGGTTGCCAGTGAAGCTAAATGAATCAAAACTCAGCAGTTGAGTTCTTGAAGGAATTTTACCACCCAAGTTGTGTACGACAAGTTCAAGTAATTGAAGAATGTGAGACTTCCGAGGCTTGAAGGGATTGATCTGGATAGCTGGTTCATTGATAGATCCATTGATTCGAGAGATAGCATCGCGGTTAGGTCCTGTGGAATTGCGCCAGACAATGAATTATGCGACAAGTTGAGATATTTAAGGGCTGCCTGGTTTATGATCTGTTTTGGAAGCTCTCCTGACAAGTTAATCCAGGAGATGTCCAGACTTACGACATTGTTCAGTATGGTGCTGCAATCCAACAGCTGCACTTTCCTCACTAGAATCTGAGTATCCAAATATGATTTCCCCAGACCACCAAAGGGCCAACTGATGTCTGAAGTATCATTGTTCTGGCTACGTACCAGAGCGAGTTGTGAGAAAGATCCAAGATCCGTAAAGGTTGCAGGTTGCAGATCTACTTAGGTACACTGCCATGAAGCTTATTCCCACGCAAACTAAGAATGGACAAACTTGAAAGGCTTTGTCCCATCCATTCTATCTTAGCTTCCAATTCATTATCACCCAAGTCAACTGCATTTAACCTGGAACATTTTTGGAGGGATGGAGGAATTGCACCAGACAACCTATTGTTCTAAAGGTGCAAAGACTTGAGAGAACTTACATATGCAAGGGACTTTGGAATCTTGTAGTGGAACTTATTTCCACCAAGCCTTATACTCGACAACTTCTTCCAAGTCTTCCAACAATCTGGGATCTCGCCAGTCAAACTATTACCATACAGGCTCAGAAATTATGTAGACCTCATTTAATGGGTGTTGAAACACAAAAACTTGAACAAGTTCCCAGAAAACAAATTGTTGGCAAGGTCCAGATATGATAAGTTGGTTGAGATAGTAGGCAACGGACCTTCCAGGCAATCGAAGCTGAAATCAAACAATGATGTCAGACAAACAACATGAATGACATGGAAGTCTTCAAGAGATTTGGTTGCGAGAGAAATTCAAATAGTATAACTGAGACAATGTGCTCCAGAACCAACCAGGAATGGGTTCCGAAATTCCAGAATTAGATAGATCAAGATACTTAAGTTGCTACAAACTTCGGAACCAATTGGGGAACTCGGGTCCAACATACCAGGATTCTACGTCTAATACTTGAAGTAGTTTGGAAGGAACCCAATCTGGTTTAGCTTTCAACACCATATGGTTTCCAGATGCATAAAAGCAAGCCAACTTTCCGAGGTTGGCAAAATGAATTTCAGGGTAAACAACACCATGCAATGAGTTCTCAGAGATATCCACATTATGCAGTTGTGCAAGAGCCCCAAAATTTGTTGGAATAGCCCTGTTGATACTGTTTCTTGCAAGGTCTACATAATTCAAAGATTTCATTTCTCGAATGCCATTGGAAGTGAACCAGAACTGAAATTGTTTGCAAGGATGAGACGGTAAAGTCTCCTGAAATTTCAAATCTGATCGGTCAACTGACCTAACAGCTGGCAACTATGCAACAATTCCTGTAAGGAATTAGCACAATCTCCAAAGATTTCAAGCAACTCTGATATAGTTTGATGCAGTTTTACATGTTCCAGAGCAAGTGACCTCAAATGGTAGTAGCTTTTGAACGACTCTGGAGACCCCGCTCCCAAATTCAAGGCCACGATTGAATGACATGTCAAGGCGAACAAGCGAAGACAAGTTTCCAATGCCATCATTTAAGATTTTACCATCCAACTCATTGCGGTATAGATGGAGTTTCTCAAGATGACTTAACCTATAGAAGTAGTTTGATACTGAATGATTGAATCGATTGAAATGCAAGAGAATTATCCTCAGAGAAGTAAGGTTTTGAAGTCGGTCAGGAATTAGTCCACCAAAAGAGTTGAATCCTAGATTCAAGTAAGTAAGGCTCTGAAGATGTAAATTCCAACTAGGAACTGAAGTTTGACCAAATTGATTGTGATACAAATTAAGAGCAGACAAAGAAGAAAGGTAAAATTTTTAAGGGGAGGGCTATGACGGATTGGACAATTTGAAGGTATAGTACTGAAAGATATTGGAGTGTGTTGATCATGTTCAACCGGTCAGAAGCATTGCTAAGATCGACTTCACTCAAATCAAAGTATCTTAGTGAAAACCCAGAAAGCCACTTCAAACTATCAGCATATAACTCATAATCTCCAGCAACCCGCAGGCTAGTCGCTGCAGATTTGAGAGGCTTCCTAGTTGATGAGGGATTACTCCTCCAAATCTAGCTCCATCTAGGTAATGGTGCTTTAAACTACTCATAGAGCCACAAAAACTTGGAACAGGAATCCCTTGAAAATTATTGTTGACAGGTCTAAATAGCTAAGATACTTCAATTGAAGCAATGAAGGATTTAGCTTACCACTAAACATAGAATCGTGCCAAGAAGAAGGCCATCCGAGATGAAGCTCAGTGACATGGTTAGTAAATTTATCACAGACGACTCCGAACCATGTACAACAATCCTTTTGTCCAACCCAAGATGATAGAAAGCTCGAAGGGTCTTCAAGATCAGCCCTGAACTTCAAAAGTGCTTCTCCTTCATCCAGACTACAGCCTTCACAAGAAGCCACAAGGAAAAAGCACATGCAGAACAGAAGAGCTGCAACAATAGTCATTGAGTTAAGGGTCAGTAGTTGCAAAAGGCTCAACCTCACAACAAGTATATACCATATACAAGGTTTGCTAGTAAGGGAATGCAGTTTATCTTTACCTCTTTCCAAGCTACATCTATCTCACTTTCCTGGGACTCTCCAATGGAGAATTCTCATGAGTTCCCAATTCAATATGTGTCACTGTTCAATCAAATTCTTGAATTTAGCTAAGAGATAAAGTATCAGCTTCTGGCTCCAGTCTATTAATCATAAAAATATATCTATCATTTTGTCTGGTTAAGGCTAGACTGGCACTATATTCATCTCCTTCATGCAGCACGTAATATCAAAAGGATGAGGCAAGACAACTTTCATAACAACAAGAGATTTCCTTTCTTAGTTCTTTATTCTTCAACTTTAAATGTGTACAACAGAGCTAGTACCCGCTTCCATCTTTCAATTGATTCAAACTTATGCATTAATTGTAGCAATGTTGAATCAACTTACTCATTACCTCATAAGTTGTCTGATGGTGGAAACTTTTGACAAGATCAGGGGATCAGCCGCAACTTGACAGGAACTCTACCGCAACCCAATTAAGTCAGCCAAGAAAACAGAGGCCACCTCAAAAATGACAAAAGTGGAATTTGAAGAAACCTAAATGTCACCCAAATTCCAGTCATAAGGTTTGTAAGATACCCTTGCCAAACCACGCAAAGTAAGGTACCCTACTTCTCGATCTGACGGTGTAGAACACTCTGCTGCAGCAAACCAAACAGAACGCCACCTGCAAAAGATGGTCATGGATGATGTTTGAAGAAAATCCATTAACCTATTGATAAGCTTATTTTCCGAGTTTTGGCAGCGAGGGATTGAGATCCAGCAATAAGCATGGAAAGCATAACTCATATTCTTGCTCGATTCTAGAATTGCGGCATTTCTACAAACAGATAGCGGAGGACCTAGTTCAAGAAACACATTGAGTCATCCTAAAGCTACAGCCACATACCCAGAAAAAGCTATAGCACTAGTGGAAACTCTGCCACTAATTCAAAATCCCTCCTTTCAGCAGCACCCGACGAAAATTGGAAAATCGGAGAACATGAAGGGACAATTGTAAAGCAACTGGAATACTCTTCACGAATTGGAAAGATTCGGAATGGAGGCCATCAATGAAGTGGCCAAAATCCAAGCCCCACAGAATGTGAAGGGATAAAAGGGAAGTGAGTTCTCTCTTCAGAGAAAAGAGAAAGGAAAGGAGAAGGGAAAAGAGGCCAAGGCTGGGGACCAAAAGGTATGCGCGGCGGAGCATCTGGCTCCTTGAGTGACAGTGATAGGCCATCTGTGTCGTCCACGACCCTGAAATCCAGTTGTTCTGGCCGTGGAAAGTCGATGTCCTGGTGAGACCGCCACTAACGAATTTTTCGCAGGAAGGAAACCTACAGAAAGAATATGGTTGTTTCCAAAGTTAAACCATTCTTGTGGAGAGAGCGAGACGGGGAGAGACTAGAGAGAGAAGGTTGGCGGCCAATGCCGTCGATTGAAGGGAGGCAGTGACCCTGCCTCCACATTATATGAACAAACAAAGACTAATTGTGCATTAAAGAGAGATGGGGAGCACTTTAAGGAAGCAACTGAGGGAATCTTGAAAAGCACGCAAGAAGACACAGTAACTCACAAGGCCAAAAGTGGAACCTTGTGCACATACCATATGAACTCAAGTGCTCTCTAAGATGCCCATCAACAGACCTATCGACGACTGTCATAATCGTTTTCGTGATAGTCACCAAGCAGCGCATACCTTCTCAAGAGAGCTTGAACTTTGAGATCAAGGGCACAGTGAATTCTTCTCATCAAACTTTTCAACACCAAAAGTTTCAGAAGCAGAAAGTTGGTTGCTCTTTCTACAGGTCCAACCAGATTCCCATCATAGAACTTCCACACGATAATACTGTTAATATGTGAATGCTTTAGAGGTGGACTGCATTGTACTTAATTGCAGTCCAAAGTACACATCTGACCACCATGTCACTTTAACCTGAACAACTGAAGTAGCATACTAAGTTCTGAAATACTTCATAGCAGCCCAAGTGAGAAGGTAATGATCAACCATACCCAGTGCTAAGCTGAGCTTTTGTAAACTAAAACCAATTGAATGCAACACATAAAATTCGTGCAACAATCGCACAGCGAATATGGATTGAGCAGAAGGGACAGTCAGATGGAGCAGAACGTGCTCTGACAAACTTGAAATAAGAATGAGTCGTCAACATTGAGGCTAGATATTAAGAATTGGCACAACATTCAATCTCAAACAAACACTTGCCTATTGATTTGCATAACTGATACAGTATCACAATTAGCTTCCACATACATCCTGATTGCTCTAGAAAACAAAAGGAATGAACTTGTACCGAACTTTATTCATGTACTGCAGATAACTCTCCCCAAAATTCTCAATCATAAGAGCCTCCTCCATTTTAGCCTTCTTCTCATAATACGTCAAAGATACTGCTACAATGAACACCAAGCTCAAAGGAGCACGCAGGGCAACAAAATAAGCTGCAAATAGAAGCATCGTAGACGAGTACATAGGATGCCTGACCCATCTATATGGCCCGAATTGCACAACAGCAGTTGGAACCACCACCTTCTCGGAGTACTTGGCAAGGTAAAAGGTTGAGTTGTACTGCATCAGTGAAGTCACAACTATGAGTATCCAAATCCATACATTGCTCCACCCACCGGGAACAAGATGCAGTTCTGGCCCTTCGAAAGCTGCAAGCCAATGACCAATCATGACTCCAACGCAGAACAAAGCCCGAGACCAATTAGGAGGGTTCACATCCCACTTTGGGTGATGTGGGCGACCGTAATAATCTCCATACAGACGTTTCCTAACACTCACGTTGAAGAAAAAGAAGTAGTGGTACACAAGGAAGAATACGATGGGCCAACCCTCAAGGAAACCATTAAAATGGGCAGGAGGCACAAGAGTGAGCCAGGTGAAGACGCTAGTAACAATGGCCAGCTGCTGGAGAATGCTGGCTTCGCCCTTGGCATGCCTATAGAAGCAGTATAATCCGTAACCCGCTAACGAAACAGCCACCATCCATGGCCAGAACATCCAAGTCATGCTAAAGAAGGACCAAAAGAAGGGACTGAACAGCACATTCGAAGTCCATTTAGCGGCAGAAATCAGAGCGGCCAAGATAACAAACCACTTAACAGCTCGAACAGGGCTTACTTCAAAGACTGCTCTCTTCAAATTCTCGAAGGACAAGTCCTTGTAGGGTCCGAGCAGTGGTTGGGCCAGCGAAGAGTCGGGACTTGTATAGCCGGAGTACGAGCATTTGGCAGGAGAAACCAAATGGGTCCTCGTTATTTTCAGCAAAGGCACCCACTGCTTTACTGAAAATGAAGAACGCAGCGGGGAACCGAGCGGCTTCGAGTCGCGACGAAAGCCAGAGCTTGTGCTAGACTTCTGAGACGCCATGTGTTTGTTGAAATGCCCCAATGAGACATTTCTGTTTCCTGCAGCTGAATTGCTTCGTAAACTAAAACCAAGTGAGCTGGAGTGCGAACTGAGGAGCACTGACGTCGTGGCATCCATCGATCAAGGTGAAGAAGGAAACTGAGATTTCCGTTGCGGTGGCGGAATTCCTCTTACTGAGAATGAGACAGGGTCGAACATCGGAGTCGCCCAGTTATCATCGCCAACAAACCAACCTGATTTCCCCCATCCCCATCCCGGCAGTAGCTGCCACTAGCTAAGTAGCTAGCTTATATTTGAGTTATGGGCCCAATTGTTGGCCTAACCTAATAACCAAGTGGCCCATTAAAAGCCCACGGCTCTGCTCAACACGCTGGTGGCCGGCGGGCGGAAGAGGGGTTGGATGCACAGAGACGCACTAAAACCTTTCCTAGGCACAGAACCCAAATTTGCAGAATCGATCGTCGGCCATGGCTCTATGGAGAGCTCGAGCGGCTTCGTCTTCTCTCTTCAATAGGCTTCTCCAACCTCTGAATCGCTCCTCTGCCGTATTTGACGGTAGCAGCACTCTTTGCCGCAGTTTCTCCGTTGCCACCGGTACGCGCGTCTCTGAATGCAACTTCGTAGTCGATTGCTTTCCTTCTTTAGTTGTTCTGTGAATTAGTTGTGAGGAATCCGAACTACGTTATTGAACTGGAAGGTTTCGTCTCTAGTTCATACTTGGTGTGATTTTGAGCCTTCGAACTATCTTTGACTGCGTTGTAGTTAGAAGTTCAATGTGAGATATGGAGACCTATACCGTACATTCGCCTTTCCTAGAAATGCAGACTAATTCTTGTTCACCATTTCTTACTAAGACCTGGAAAGGAAGCCTTCAATGGTGCTCGGAATCTTAAGTGGCAATGTCTTAGTGAACAGTGTCGCAAGGACTCAACGACTTTACAATATGGTAGAGTGGAACACTCAGTGCAGCAGGAACCTAGATAGGCAGTCATTACAATCTCCTACCTGCTTTATGGAACTTGATACAAATTTCTTTTCTTCTGTCTGTGTTTGTAAAAAGGAAAAGATGCAGCTGCTGATGCTAATTTATTGAGGGAGACGATGAAGAGAGAGCTCCTTCATCTCGACATCAACTCCCAGACTGGAAGCAACATGCCGCTTGCTTCGATGCGAATTGGTACCATAATCCACAACATTGAGATGCGGCCGGGCCAAGGTGGGAAGCTGGTTCGAGCTGCAGGGACGAGTGCCAAAATCATGAAGGAGCCAACAGCCGAAATCTGTGTGATAAAACTGCCTTCTGGTGCTGAGAAGATCATCGATGCTCGATGCAGGGCGACGGTTGGGGTGGTGTCCAATGCCAGCCATGGGGCGAAGAAGCTTACAAAGGCAGGGCACAGCAGGTGGTTAGGGAGAAGGCCAGTTGTTCGAGGAGTGGCCATGAATCCGGTGGATCATCCCCACGGCGGTGGAGAAGGTAGGAGCAAAAGTAGTGGCTCTTTCGGTAGAGTGTCGCAGACTCCATGGGGTAAGCCGACTAAATCTGGGTACAAGACTGGTCCACTCAAGCGCAAAAAGTAGATCAGGTTACATACTTGTTGCACTTGTTTCAGCTACGCATTTTTGTGCTGAAGTTATGTTTACTTGAAATATGGATGAGTAGCTAGGCTTTTGACTCTGGTTGCATCAGAATTTGAGGTGTACTGTTATATTTCAACTTCACTGAAATCTACTGGATCTGAAATCCTTGTTGATCTCTAATAACTTACCATTGTGATGAATTAGAATAAGAGGAGGGTTGGCCAACTGCTATGTTGATTGATTGCCTAGCCTTTCCCAAGGGAATGTTAGTGATGATATTTCACCTTGTGGTTTTGGAAGTAAGGCGTTAGCTTTCTGGCGGTGCTTATGATAACTAGGGATGATGTCTAGTAATGTGTCTCAACATTCAACAATGTGTGTGTTTTTTTTATAGAACATTCAACAATGTTTTGGTTTTACTCAAATAATAAATTACTTCTTATGTTTTGGTTGGATCTTATTCGAGTTCAAATTATATCTTTTAATGGATCATGGGTTAAAAGACGAATTGTGAGGTTGTAAGAGAGCTTGGGAGCATTCAAGGTCCATTGGAACTTCGAGCATCTTACAGTTTTCTGTAGAGAGCACATGGGTTTCCTTAGCGATCTTTGGTGACTTCATGCTAATAACCGGTTTATCTATTTGGGGTCTGCCTCGATCTGCCTATGAGTGATGTTGTTGCTCATGAACATCCTAATGGAGACCACAAAGACGGAGTTGAGGGGTTTAAACTTTATTGCGCCTAAGGGTCCCGAAGGTTTCCTTTGGGTCTTTCAAATGTAGGGATGGCAAGAAAACCCGAACCCACGGGTACCCACCCGACCCAACCCAGTCAACGCGGGCAAAACCCGTGTTGACGGGTTTTGGGCCGGGTTTGGGTTTAAACCCGCTACACTATTCATCGGGTTGGGTTTGGGTTTAGGTAAACCCGACCCATGGGCACCCGCCCACACCCATATAATTAATTTTTCCGGGTTATTTGCGATATATCTTTCTTAAATAACTAATCTTCTTTATGTTTGTGGAGACATGTCTAATTTATTCTTTCAAATTGTGTACAATGAAGTTGATATTAAGGAGTGGAGAGTGAAGAACTTTAGTTGACAAGGAGGAAGGAGCTTTCAATTAATCATGTTGTTTATAGATGTTTATCTTTAATTTGAACAATTTGTATTGATAATTTCGGGTTTGCTTGTATGCTCTAGATTAGTGTTTTTTGTAAGGATAATTTTTATGAGAAAATTGATGTTAGACTTTTATTTTGAAAGAAATTTTTTATTGTAAATTTTTACCACAAAAATCCACGGGTACCCATGAACCCGCGGATACCCAGCGGGTTGGGTTGGGTTTGAGTTTTCCAAACCCAACAGGTTTTACCCCGGGTTTTTTTGACGGATAAACCCATGGGTTTGGGTTCGGGTTTGGCAAAACCCACCCCAACCCGACCCATTGCCATCCCTATTCAAATGATTATTTGCTTCTTTGCAAAGTGTATGGTTCTTTATGTTGGAGTTGGAATCCTTGTAGTAGAAGATTGGAGTTAGTATGAAGAAGTTTAAAATTGAGTGTTTATGTTTTAAATCAAAACTGTGTAATTGGAAAAGTTAATGTAGTCCCTTTAAGTTTTTGAAATAGTTGCATTCGAGTCTTGTCAAGTTTGTTGAGAGCTTTCGGCTAAAGTATGGAGTTATGTTAGCTAGTTAGTTGGTAGTGAGCTGCAAACATGGGATTTGAGTTATAGGCAACTAGTAGTGGCTTGGATAATAGCCAAGGTCGAGTACTTATGTTTGTCTACCAAGGTTCAATAATTTTTTGTTAACTTGCATAAAGTTGAGCTCTACATTATGGTATCAAAGAACTCAAAGCAAGTTGTAACTACGTTGGTGCAAGAGAGTTTGAGTGAATGCATTTGAGATATGGGTTCAGGGGAACACGTGAGTTCCTTGTGAGGTATGTTTTCAACAAAAGGTGTGTGAAGATCACAAGGGTAAGTGAGTGTTGCAAAAAGAATTAATGAGTGACAGAAGCAGTAGTGCTCAGGTATGCATCTCAAAATCTTATGCATATTATGAGCACTTAGACATTGTTGATGACAAATCTACTCAGATCAAAGAAATACTAGATAGTGATCAGTCTTGGATTTAAAAAACCGCTGAAGGAGAGGAGCGCTTTGCAACCCATCTGAAGATTTTGGAGGAATTAAGATTTAAATACTTGAAAGTTAAGAATTACTTGTTTTTTTTTTTTTTTTTGCCATAGATATCCCGAGGGGGAAGCAGCATAGATACGACAAAATACAAGGTCTCCTAAGACCAGACTAGGAAAATTAAATAAATAAAACACGATGGTCGACAAGAGTCTGGACCATCGCTCTAAGGGCTTGTCTTGCCACGGTATGGGCAACCCTATTATACCTACGGGGAGCGAAATGGAACGTTGCGCGTAGGAAAGAAGCCCGCAACACCTGAATCTCTTGCAGGAGAGCTCCGCCCATCGCGTGCGCCGAGTCCTTCGCATTGATCATCCGAACAATCACCTACGCATCCCCACAAAACAAAACATTAGTGAACGAGTGAGCCAGGCACCAACGTAAGGAGTCACGAAGAGCCAGGAGCTCTGCGAGAAATGGGTCATCAATATTAGGAATAAAATGGCTCCAAGCAAATATAGCGTTATTAGCTTCTGCAAAACCAACAAAACCAATGGCACATCCGACCAAAGTTTTGGTGGCACCATCAAAATGTACCAACACTGAACCGGAAGGAATGGATGGAGGGGATTGATCACGAGGTAAAACCCCACTAGACGCAGGAGAACGGCGAGGCAAAGATCTCTCTGGATGGGCCTGTGCTCGCTCCCATTCAGCAACCTGAGAGTAATAATGTCGTGATAAAACATGAGATAAAATACTGAATACCATCATATGTAGCCGAACATCTTGACTTCCAGAGCCTCCAGTAAAGAAAAACCAAACGTGAAATCTCTACTTTGGATAAACCTACATAAAAAAATAGCCTACGCCAACCAACCGCAACATGGCACAAGCGAATTTGAGCAAGAATATGGTTGTACCCCAACAAATCCCACAACTCCAAAGAAACCCGACAATCCAAGAAACAATGAGCAAGAGTCTCAGCCTCACCACCACAGACAGGGCAAGCGTAAGCCTCAGTATCATCATCAGCTATCAATTCCTTATCACGTAGCACATCACGAACAGGGAGAAAACCTTTAACCACTCGCCAAAGAAAAAAATTAAGCTTTGGAGGAACAGGAAGTGACCAAAGAAACTTCCAAGAACGGGAGTCAAAAGACGATGGAACCGTGGAAAAGTCAGCAATGTACTCAGCCGCAACTAAATGATAACCAGATTTAACAGAATATTCACCTGAAACTTCATAATGCCAAATCAAGCGGTCAGCCACAGAAAAAATCGGCAGAGGAATAGCCATAATGATCTGGACAGTGGCAGTATAAAAAAGATATGAAAGAATGATCTCCTTCCAAGAGCCTTGACCATGAACTATTAGGCATGAAACAAAGAAGTCAGGTAAGACAACCCCAGGAAGCAGAATCGGTCTAGAAGGAGGGGTGGTGGGTAGCCAAGCATCATTTGTAATATGAACCGATGTTCCACAGCCAATTAACCAACGAAGGCCTTGGACCAAAAGATCCCTGCCCAAAAGTACACCATGCCTTGCCCATGAAGGACGCGTACCTGCAGTAGCATGAAGAAAAGAGGAATTGGGAAAATACCTGCCTTTGTAGGTGGTAGCTAAAATGCTATCCGGATCCTGGACGATCCTCCATGCTTGTTTGGCAAGCAATGCAATGTTATTGGAATCTAAATCTCGAAAGCCAAGACCCCCTTTGATTTATGGCGGCATAAAGCACGCCAAGAGGTCCATCTCATGCCACTCTCTCTATCCTGTTGACTCCACCAAAAGCGAGCAAGATGCCCATTCAAACGCCTGCAAAAAAGCGAAAGAATTCGAAAGCATGACATCGCGTAAATCGGTTGGGCCAAAGCCACATATTTAATCATTGTTTCCTTTGCAGCTAATGACATATACTTCGATTTCCATCCTTGAATCCAGGTAACCAGACCTTCCTCAACAAAACGAAAAGTATCCTGCTTTGATCGCAAGACGCGCATCGGAAGTCCCAGATAACGATCTCGGGGTCCACTGATTGCCACGCCAAGCAGAGAGATAATTACTGAGGCTTCATCTGCAGAAACATTATTACTAAAGGTAATAGTGGATTTCTGAAGATTGACCTTCTGACCACTCACCTGCTGGTAGGAATTAAGAATATGAAGAAGATTATGACATTCCATAGGAGAGGCACGGAGGAACAAATAAGAATCGCCTGCAAAGAATAGGTGAGAAATCATAGGGCACCGACGGTGCACCTTCAATCCATGCAGCAAGTCAGAGTGAATGGCTTGATTTATAACACTAGAAAAACCTTCCGTATAAAGTGCAAATAACAAAGGAGAGAGGGGATCGCCTTGACGCAAACCTCGCTCAGGATAGAAGTAACCATTAAGGGAATTACAATTTAATTCCTTGACAAGACAATTTTTAAAGCAATTGTCATGAAGGTAATTACAAGAGAATTGTGGAAATTTACAAAAGAGAAGTTCAAGGAAGTGTCAGATTGCATAAAGCTTAATTACATGCAATGAAGTCAAAAGTGTGATTCTATCTAGAAGCGAAAAAGAGGTAAAATCGTAAAGCGTAGAATTAAAGCGTAAAAGTGTATGTTTTTTACGCATACTGTAAAATAGCTAAAAAAACTGTTAAGTACGTCATATACTATGTAAAATATGAGTGCACATAATTTAGATAAGTTAATAATACCTGCAATTCATGTCTGAAGTAATTAGCTAATTAGTTTGAGCATTTTAATCAGGCCCTGTTAGCCAAGATTGGCTGGCGTATCCTTAATGAACTCCAATCCTTAATGAACCCCAATCTCTACTGGCTCAGGTTTAC